CTCCTCCTCCTCCTCCTCCTCCTCCTCCTCCTCCCTCCTCCCGTAGCCCAGCCGCCCACCTGGGCCGCGCATGCGTGGGCGGTCGAAGCCCCGGGACAGCGCGACGGCCCGCGTCACCGCAGACAACAATGGCACGGCCTGGAGCGCCACCTAGGTGCGTTTTGCCGAACTGGAAACTTGCGGGCGGGTCCGCTGCGGCCATGGGTCGAGATGTTGTGACTCAGCGCCACGATTGAAGCGATGTTCCCACGGGGGACAACGCGGCGGTGGGGCGATGCCACTGCCGACGCAGATCATCGAGAGTCTGAACATGAGCGCTGCGATGGCATCGATGGCCCCTCTGCCGGCAGGATAGCGCGCAGGAGAGCAAGCGGACCGAATCGTGTGAGGGCCCAGGTGGTGGGGCGATCGGTCATTGCTAACCGTTTGGGCGGGCTTGGAGGGCCCCTACTTCTACTTCGACAACCCTTCGGGGCGCGAGCCCGCCCCCGGGGGGGGGGGGGGCGAGTGCCCCCGGGGCCGGGGCGGACCCCGAAGGGGTGCAGGCGCAGCGGGCGCAAGGGAGAGGCCGCGGGCACGCGCGCGGCCGACCCAGACCCCCCCCCCCCCACTGGGCGCAGGCCAGGAACCATCAGCAATGAGCTCAATGAGAAATGAGCACGCTTAGGAATCCACGACGTATACCACTGGGCCCATCTGCCACAGTGGGCGCGATCGACCATGGAGGGGGGCCTCCCAGCTAGACGCAAGCAGGCGGCTGGGCACTGGCAAGGTTTCTTGGGCGGCGGTGCCGGACCCGCCCGAGCCCGGCACATCAGATCCCATCTTGAGTTCGACGGTGCCTCAGCCCGAGGATGTGACGTCGCATTCTGGCAGGTCAGAAGATTGGCAGACAAGGCGGACGACGAAGGGGCCACGATGGCCCAGATCCCGTTTGAGGACTGACGTACGATCGCGGAATGTGATAATCTCGCATCCAAGTTTTTAGATTCGTTGTTCGTTGTGTCTTTTGCCTGGGTCCAGCAAGCTCAGCCAAGAAAAGGGAAACCGCCAAGAGGAAGCCAGGCTGCGGGCAGCTCGAAGGAAGGCTGCCAAAGCAAGACTTAATGATGGAGCAATGTTTGCTCGTCGCGCAGCATCAGGCAGAGAAAGTCCAGCATGGACCATGGAGGTGCGCCGCATGTTTTCTTACAGGACGAGGACCATGCGAGTTTTCCTCCGCTCGGGCTATCAGGGGGTCCCGTCCCAGGCCAGTGGGCCCCACCGAGTTGATCCGTTTCGGTGTGCGTTCTGGTGCCAAGTCTATGGCGTCACAGCTTCCCCCCTTCAGAGGGAAGCCCCAAAAGCTCGGATGGCAGCGCATCCCAGGACACTCGGCGCACGAACAGTGAGCCCTGACCCGTCTATCGGCGGGCAATCTGCCGCCTGACCTCCAGGCTTGGCCTGGAGAAGGTGGCGGCCCGAGGTCGGTTCCCGTCGGGTCGTCGGCGGGGGGATGGTACCCTCGTTGGGGGCGACGGAAGTCTCCTCTGGTGGAGTCGCCCTCGGGCATTGTCTTGTTCCTCGGAGGCCCTCACCGGAACCTTCTCCAGAGCCAGGCAAGAGGCAACAGGAGGAGGAGGAGGAGGAGGAGGAGGAGGACGACAACAACGAGGAGTCGGAGGGATCGGAGCAGGAGGAGGAGGAGCGATAGGAAGAGGAGGAACAGGAGGAGGAGGAGGAGGAGGAGGAGGAGGAGGAGGAGGAGAAAGAGGAGGTGCGGGTCCACAGTAGAGGTGTGCGTGAGGGTCGCCATGCTGGTGCTCGCCCTGGTGCCCGCCTTCCTGGACGACTACTCGAAGTTCAAGACGTTTATGACATGTGGCCCCTCCAGCTTTGTGAACTTCGCCCTGCCGGCCCTCTTCGCCCTGTTGGGCATCCTGTCGCACCGCAGCGAGGTTCGCGGACGATTGAAGCTGTGGGCGCTCTGGTTCTTTGGCCTGGCCTTTGAAGGCCTCTGGAGGCGCCCGGGGGCCTACCGGAACCTCCAGGGATCTCCGCGGAGACATCCAGGGATTTCTAGGGCCGCCGTGGGCGACGGTTGCCGCCATGGGCCAAACATTGGTCGGGCGTGTCCCCTACAGGGGGATTTTCGACAAAAAATTAAAAATATTCCAAACATGCCCCAAAAAGGTCAGAAAATATTCGAAAAATTGCCCCCAGACTATTTTTTGTTTTTTTGATTATGTTTGGGATATTCTTTCTTTTCCGTCCAAAATTCCCCTGTAGGGGGACAGGCCCGACTTGACGTTTGCCTCAGCACACCCCGTCTCCCTCCCGACGAGGTCCAGAGGCCCCGCAGCCTGGCCGAGATGAAGCAGATGGCGACCGGAGCCCTGTCAACGATGCGCATCACCGTCGCTGCGCGGGTGACGACACTCGCTGGGCGCGGGTCCGCTACGCCGAGCGAGTCTGCCGGAGTGGAGATGGCCACCGCCCCGACGGCCAGCACCTGGCACGCGCCCAGCCGGCGGACGGAGGCGCCCGCACGGGGGCGCGCCCCCCCGGGCGAAGACCGCAGCGGCCGCGGCGCCTCCCGGGCATGCGGCAGCTCGGGCAGGGCGACCAGGGCCACCCGCGCCGTGACGCCGCCGGGCGGCAAGCCCGCCGACCAGTTCCTCTTCATGCACAGCATCCGCATCCACATCATAGCCACCGGGGTGCTGACCTTCTTCACCATCGTGTTTACGGTCTGGAACGCGGGCCTCGGGGTCAAGAAGCTGCTGTTCGGGCCGGACAAGTCGTACACGCGGGACAGCGCCGTGCGAGAGGGCTGCACAAGCTGGTTCAGCTGACGACCTCTGGCGGCCTGGGCTGCGCTGGACGGCCTGTAGCGATGTAAGATATGTGTCCCGTGCCCCGAAAAACTGCGCCACCCTTCCCTAATGTCAGCTTGTGGTTGCCAACTGATGTCCCCCCCCCGATCGTACGCAAGTAGGGCGAAGTTTCCCCTCAGGCTGATCCCTGACGCGCCACAGTCGTCGTCGTCGTCGTCGTCATCGTCGTCGTCGTCGTCGTCGTCGTCGTGGTCGTGGTCGTCGTTGTGGTGGTGGTGGTGGTCGTCGTCCCCGTCGACTAGAGCGGGCCTACGCAGCAGTCACAAACACACGCACACACATACCACTGGGCATCCTCGGTGCGTCGTCCCCGTTGTCGTGGTCGTCTATAGCGGCCCCGCGCGGCACACACACACACACACACACACCTCCCCCCATGGCGCATCCACAGTGCGCTGTCGTTGTCCGTCGTCGTCGCTATCGTCGTCGTCATCATCATCATCATCGCCCTTGTCATCGTCGTCGCCGTCGACTACAACGCGCTTTCGCAGCACACACACACACACACACAAGCATGAGGCATCTGCAGCGCAGTGCATCGTCGTCGTCGTCGCCGGCGGCGTCCTCGTCCTTCTGTCCTCGTCGTCGTCGTGGTCGTCGTCGTCGTGGTCGTCGTCGTCGTCCTCGTCGTTGCCGATGTCGTCGTTGTCGTCTTCGTCGTCGTCCTCGTCCTCGTGTTCGTCTTCGTCGTCGTCGTCGACGACGTCCACGACAGCGACGACGACTTCAGCGGACCTACGTAAGCCATGCCCCCCCCCCCCCAAGGAGCATGCGCAGTGTGCAGTCGTCCGTCGTCCGTCGTTGTCGTCGCCGGTTGCCGTCGCCGCGCGGTCGCCGTCGTCGTCGTCGTCGTCGTCGTCGTCGTTGTTGTCGTCGTTCTCGCCGTTATCGTCGTCGTAGGACATGTTGCAGTGGAGGAGAACGAGGAGCAGTTTCCGTTTGCCTCTGCCGCTACTCTCCCTTTCTTTTATTTGTGTGTAGCCATGTCGGCGCCGCCCGCCAGCTGTGAGGCGCCTCTTCCTCCCGACTCCTCTTGGTTTCGTGTCGGTGGCCATGTCAAAACCCCCACGCTGTAGCGGAGGCCTTGCTGTCCCTCCGGTGAAGCGGCGCTGTTTGCGACGCGTGGGCCAGCCTCCGCGGGGAAGTGCAACCGCCTCCCGCCGCCTTTCACCGAGCGCGTTCCACTACTCGCAAAGCGCCTACTTTCAAACGCCCGAAAAAAACATGTCTGATTCGACGTAACTTTTCGTAGATTCCCCCCAACTGATGCAGGCCTTTCGCGAGTAGGCACTTTGCGAGTAGCGGAACGCGCTTGTCTAGCCCTGGTGGTGGCCACACGTGGTAGCGACCGTGCCCTCTGGCACGGTCGCTGGCGCCTGGGCCCTTCCGCCCCACTCATCGACTACATGCAAGAGAGTGACCTTTCGCGAGAGCGGCATTTGATGCAGGTCCAACGAGGTCCCCCGATGGACGAAGAGCGCGATGCGGGGTATTGGCATCTTGCGCGCTCGTGTTTGGCACCCCCCCTTCCCCCCGCGGCCCCCTAGGAGCCGCGCACACACGGTCACACCCACTCAGGGTCAGTGCGAGGGGGGGTCCTTCGTTCCCCTGGCGCAGGTGTCCTTCTGCCCTCAGAAATTGTCCTCCCTGGGGCGGGATTTGCCTGCCCAGGGGAGACGTCCTGCACCGCTGGTCGCCCCTTCCATGGGTGCGGACTCCACCTCACGCGAGCACTCGCTGCACAGTGCGCTGCGCTGTGGCCGCGTGCCGCGTCCCAGATATGATGGACCTGTTTTCCACCACCACCACCACCATAAGTTGGAGGGGGGAAGGAGGAGGAGGACGAGTAGGAGGAGGACGGAGAGGAGGAGGAGGAGGAGGAGGAGGAGGAGGAGGAGGAGGAGGAGGAGGACCCCCTCCCCCTCCAACTTCTGGTGGTGGTAGTGGTGGTGGCAAACAAGTCCGCAAAGGGTATCTGCAGCGCGCCCCACCGCGTTCATACGCCGGGAACGCTGCGGGTTCCTGATCCACGCGCTCCGCTCCCAGCTCAGAGGGGACAGCGGCCAAGCGTGGCGCTCAGGCCCCCCGTCGGCCGTGCCCTTCTCTCTCTCTTTCTCTCTTTTTGTTTCTCTCTCTCTCTCTCTCTCTCTCTCTATATATGTATATATACATCGCACCTCGTCGCTTGCCGCAAACATGTGTGATCTCTGTGTGTGCCACTGATCAGCTTTGCATCCGTATCGTCCCCCTATCATTCCCCCCTGAGGTCTTCCCCCCTCCCGCTCCCACCGGTGCCCGCCGGAGGTGTGGTTCGCGGCCGCCAGCATGGAGGACGCCGTGGCCCAGGCAGAGAAGGCTCTGGGCGTCAAAGGCCGCGGCCCCGCAGCCCCCTTCGCCAGCCCGGGGGGGCCGGGGACGCCCGGGACAGGACAGGCCGGGCCGGTCTGTTGGGCATGATGGCCATCGGGTGTTGCGCCATCAGGGGGGGCGATACGGTTGGGGGATGAGGTGCGCCTGTCGTGCACCTAAGGGGCCCTGATGGGGCCTCTGGGGCCCAAGAGGTGCCCGAAAGGGGCACGTTCCTTCGCCCCCCCCCCCCCCTCCCCCCCATTTATCGCCCCCACCGTGAAGCAACGCCCACATGCAGACTTCCTCTCGTGGTGGAATGGATCACGGCGGGAGGTTTGTGGCCGTTTTCGGCTGGCGGGGGCCGTCGCAGAGCCCTGGGCCCGTCCACGAGCGGCTCGGGGTGAAACGACAGTCGTATTAGACCTCCGGGGGTCCACGTCGTGAGGGAGACGCTGCGTCGGAGATCTGGGGACGATCCTCACCTTCAATGTTTGACGCGCTTGGCCCCCATTCTCCTCCTCCTCCTCCTCCTCCTCCTCCTCCTCCTCCTCCTCCTCCTCCTCCTCCTCCTCCTCCTCCTCTCCTCCTCCTCCTCCCTCCACCTCCTCCTCCTCCTCCTCCTCCTCCTCCTACCTCCTCCTCCTCCTCCTCCTCCTCCTCCTCCTCCTCCTCCTCCTCCTCCTCCTCCTCCCTCCTCCTCCCTCCCTCCTCCTCCTCATCCTTCCTCCCCTCCTCCTTCCTCCTCCTCCCCTCCACCCCCCTCCTCCTCGCTCCTCCTCCTCCTCCTCCTCCTCCTCCTCCTCCTCCTCCTCCTCCTCCCCTCCTCGCGTGCTCGCGCCCTCTGTTCCTCCGCAGCCCCCTGGCCCAGGTCCAGGCCCCGGCAGGCGCGGCGGGTTTCCACGGGAGCGCGTTCCAGTAGGGGCCTCGCCTTCGGCGCGCCTCGCATTGGGCGGAAGCCCGCGCAAGCCGGCGGACGTATACTCAGAGCGTGAATTACCTACCCCGCTTTCGCTTCCAGGCAAAACCAAGTCATACCACGCGCCTCCTCGTCAAGCGGCCTGACCAGTACAGGCCGTAGTTTGGCACCGCTTGGTATCTCTTGGAAGCGAGGGTGGTCAAAAGCGAGGTAGGTCTGTTTGCCCCCTATATACAGCGAGACCTCGACGCTTCTGGCTACATGGTTTTCGGAGCCGGCCGCTTGGACACGGGGCCTTGCGCTCGAGAGGGCACTCACCTCAGCGAGAGGGGGGGGGCGGATCGGACGGGGCCAGGGCGAGGATTGATCCGTTCCAGAGCGTCCGGGAAGGCTCTCAGAGCGTCCCGGAACGCCCTGAGCAGGCCGCGGCATCCGAGACATCCTCCGGAGCCGCTGGATCTCAGAGATCCTCGATGTATCCTCATGTGATCGGTTGCAGAGCTTCATGGTCTGGGTAGTCGTGCGCGGCGTGCTTCCGGGCCAAAAGCTCGAGCCCACGACGCTCCTTGGCGTCGCGCTGATGCCGCTCCGCTCTGCCAGACTGCACATGCATAGATAGGCATAATCTGTGTTTCAGCGTTTGCGCTATGACCCTCTCGATAGCAGCAGACCCACGTCGGGATCCGATCCTCGTCCTGGCTTCGTCTTGGGGGCGGAGCTCCTCGGCGTCGGAGAACCCGCGGGGCGCTTCGCACGCGGCCGGGGCGCAACGGAGACAGCAGGGCCCGGCGGCGGCTGCACAGGCGCGCTGCAGCACGGGCCGTTCGCACGTTTTGCTCACCACCCACCAAACCACCCCAACCCAACCCGAAGGCCTCAAATTGACTTCCATTTCCAGTGGGGGAGGGGGCGGGGAACATCGAGAAAACACATATGGAACCCGTACCCCCCCCAACCCGAAATTCGGGTATTCGGGTTGGGTTGGGGTGGTCTGGTAGGTATGCAAATTGCGGCGCGGTGGGAGAGGGCACGGCGGCGGGGGGCAGGAGCAGGTCAGGCCCCAACGGGGCTGCCGGGGGCCGCCCCCGCGCGGCACTCCACCAGCTGCGTGCCGGGGGGGCCGCCGGAGGGGACCCCTCCCCGGGGGGGTGGGGGGCGGGCGCCTCCCGCGGCACGCGTCGGGCGTCGCCCTCCATGCCCTCGGCCGCCGGGAGGGCCACCGCGTGGCAGGCACCTGTCGGGGGCCGGCCGCGGAATGAGACGGCCGCGCCAGGCGGCCCGGCCGGCCGCGGGGCGCCGGTTGGGCGCGCCTCGTGAAGCCGTGCGCAAGGAAAGGAAGGAAGGAGGAGGAGGAGGAGGAGGAGGAGGAGGGGGAGGAGGAGCAGGAGGGGGTGGGCGCCACGCGCGTGTGTGTTCGACCTCTCCCTCGTGCGGTGTCCTCCTTCGCATGGCATTCACCTGCTGTGTCCGATTCGGTCCTCTATCTCTTTTCGCCGCCTGGCTGGCGCATACTCTCTATGCCCTCGCGGGCTCACTGCATTTTTGCCTCTCTCGCAATTCTGATGTCCGTTGTGTAAGCCAGGCGTATTTTTCCCCGTCATGCCTAAGTCGGCCACACCATTTCTCCTAGGCCACAAGACGCAACGATCTCATATCGATGTCCTGGCAACGTCCAAACAGAGGGGGTGAGCATGGCTTGCGCACAGTGCCTTGATCCCTCCCTGCTCCGAACTCAAGCTTTCGCCGTTTCTCTGTGCCCTTGCGGGTGAGTCGTATTTGCGTTGCTGCTCCATGCCCCCTTTCCGCCCCAGGCGTCGGCAGCTGTTGCACGTTTCACGTTGCTTTTCCCTTCTGCATTGACGTTGCGGCCCCATCGCCCAAGGAGCGACACTGAAAAAAGGGCAGGCGGCGGTAGAGAAGGGGCGGACGTGGCCGGAGGAGCGGGAGGAGGAGGTTCCCCAAGCCGTAATTAAGGGAGGGGGGAGAATGGGGCGCAGCCTTCAATGTTGGTCTTCCAGTTTGGTTGCGAACTTTCCTCGCGTTCACTATTGGCACCCCTTTGACTTGTGCCCCCGCACCCCCCCAGCTCGTAGTCTCAACCAAGTCCTGCTCCTCCTCCTCCTCGTCCTCCTCCTCCTCCTCCACGTCCTCCTCCTCCTTCTCCTCCTCCTCCTCGTCCTCCTCCTCCTCCTCCTCGTCCTCCTCCTCCACGTTCTCCTCCTTCTCGTCTTCGTCCTCGTCCATCTTGGTCTCTTTGGTTGCCTGCACGGACCGTGCTGGAATCTCAGGGCGCATACCCGTCGTGTCTAACGAGGGGTAGTTGTTTGGGAGGCAATGGGACGCGTGGGAGCAGCGGCTGGGAATGCGGGAGGTGCACGATCCTCGAGCGGTTGCGCGTGGGGCCCAAGAGTTAGTTGCCAGGCGGGAAGTGCACAATCCTCGAGTGGGCGTGAGGGTTCTGGCAGTAGCTGCGATACGGGAGGTGCACCATCCTCAAGCGGGCACGCGTGGGATGGGGATTTGGGTATTGCCTGCCCTGCGGGAAGCGCACCATCCTCGAGCAGCACGGGGGTCGTGGCCTCGGTGGGGGCAGGGAGTGCACGCAACCGTCCGCGAGTAGAGGGAGGGGCGGCCCCTTCCTGGACTGCAGAGACCTTGCCAGGCAGACCTTGGCATGCTTCCACGCCTCAACGCGCCAGGGGGCAGGGTGGCGGACCAACCTCAACCCCCTCTGGGCACTGACCGGAGACGAGCAGGGGGGGGGAGAAGGAGGAAGAGGAGGAGGAGGAGGAGGAGGAGGAGGAGGAGGAGGAGGAGAAGGATGTTTTCCCTTGCGCAGCCGTGTTCAAGAGCCCGGAGCTCGTCGACGTCGTCCCTGGCCCCATCCATCCCCACCTGCCCCTCCTGACCCCCGAGCAACTTATGTTTGTCGTCGTCGTGTCGTCGTTCGTGGTTCGTCCTCCCCCTCCCTGACCCGTGGCCCTGGCCCCCTCGGGGCTCCTTGGTCACTGCCTGGCCCCCTGCCCCCCCTATTAGCCCTCAGAAGGCCCCAAGATGCCCTCAAGAAGCTCCCCCCTCCTTACCTTGCTTCTCCTGTCCCTCTCCACTGGCCCCCCCTGGCCCGGAGCCTCATGCTTTGCGTCATCGTCGTCGTCGTCGTCGTCGTCGTCGTCGTCGTCCGGTGTGGTCCCTCCCGACCTTCATCCCCTGCCAGGCATCCCCCCCTGCCCGCCCCCGGCCTCTGGCCGTTCCGCCCCGAGCTCTTCATTTTCGTCGTCGTCGTCGTCATCGTCGTCATCGTCGTCTTTCGGCGTCCGCCCACATCCTTGGCCATCTGGGACCTCCCTGCCGTGAACTGATGGCCCGATGCCCTTCCGCGTCTCTTGTCCCGCGCCGCTCCCTCGTACGGGAGCCGAGGCCCACGCGCCGCCCGATGTCGTTGTCGTCGTCTCCCGTGGTCCGCCCTCCCTCTTGGCCGCCCTCCTCGCCCGGCACCCTCGGAGCCCTGCCCCCATGGCTCTCCCCCCACGCCCCACTCCCCCCCCCCTCCTGGCCCCCAATATCGGAGCCCCGTCCTCTCCTGCACGGCTGCGTTCTAGAGCTCGGACCTCTTCATTTCCGTCGTTCGTTCGTTCGTGGCATCCCCCCCCCCCCTCGCAGGCAGTGATCCCCTGCCGCCCCCCTCGGGCCGTGGCCTCTTCCCCTCTGGTCCATGGCCGCGCCTCCCTGCCCCCCGTCCCCACCTCCCTCCATCTGGCCCAGGCCGCACGCAGTGCCCCCCTTCTCTTGCCCAGCTCTGCTCGAGAGCTCGGACCCCTTTGCAGCCTCCTGCGCGGCTCTGTCCCAGGGCTCGGAGCCCTGTGATCTTCGTCGTCCACTCCTTCGCTAGTCGGCCCCCCGGGCACCCCTACCCCTGTCTCCTCCAGACGGCCCAAGAAAACCTCAGGACAGCCTTGAGGCGGGCTTGCCTCTCCCAAAGGGGAAAATTCAAAAATAGTCCTCCTCCTCCTCCTCCTCCTCCTCCTCCTCCTCCTCCTCCTTCTCCGGGTACGATTGTTTTGAGCAACTTCATGCGAGAGAGCAAATGGGGAAGGGCGTGCGCGTCAGAAAACTGTTCTCGTGGCTCTTGGCCGCGGCAGGGCGCCGTCCGTGTTTTGTCGGTCGTCGTCGCTCGTGGCTCGCACGGCCCCCATGGGCCCCCCTCTGGCCAGAACTGATCTACCCTTGCATCGATTTGCCTGCCGCATCTGCGACGAATTGCATTTTGCTCGTAGCTCCACGGGCATCTGTACGCAACTGCTGGTACCTCCGACGAGACAATCAGTTGTGGGGTAGATTATATGTTGTATCAGGAGGGGGAAAAACACACAGACACAATGAATCGTCGACTCCCAGGAAAATATGGGAAAATATGGGAAGTGGGGGGGGGACAAAAACCCAGGAAATATGCGAAAATATTGGGAATCTGCTTATTTGTGTGTATTTATTTGTGTGTCCCAGGGCCCCTTCATTGTAGTCGGTCCCCTGCTCGACCCACGAAGGCGACCCGCCTCGGTGCTCCCGGGCCTCGCCCGCCCCCAGGGCCCGCGGGCTCCTCTCGTCGCTCGTCGCGCCCTCCCCCTCAGTGGCCCCCCCGGGGGCCAGGAGCACCGGATCGCGCATCGCGCGGCCGTGTGTCCAGAGCTCCGACTCCTCTCTTTTCGTCGCTCCTCGCTGGATCGTCGTCGTCGCCCACCCCCCCCCCCGCACAGCTGTGCTCCAGAGATCCGACCCCTCTCTTTTCGTCGCTCGTCGCTAGGTCGTCGCCGTTGCCCCCCCATGCCCCCCCCCAGCCCCCCCCCCAGCTCCAGACTGGATGGGTATGGGGCGCTTTCGGCCATCAAAGGGTTTGAAATGGGCTTTCGGCCCTCAAAGGGCTTGAATGAAACGGAACCGCACTCTTCCCGTCTCCGCTTCCTTCCTCTGTTCGCTCCTTCTTCTCCCCTCCTCTTCCTTCTCCTCCTCTTCCTCCTGCTCCTCCTCCTCCTCCTCCTCCTCCTCCTCCTCCTCCTCCTCTTCCTCCTATTCGTCCTCTTCCGTCTCCTCTTCCTCCTCCTCCTCCTCCTCCTCCTCCTCCTCCTCCTCCTCCTCCTCCGCCTCGTCTCTCCCCCCGGATGGCCCCTGGAGGTGCCCCCTGCTGCGTACCGCCTGTCCCTGCCAGTGGTTTCCCCGCGGCTCGTGGCTCGCCATCCACCGGCCTCTTCGGTGATGGGCCTGTCTTCCACCACCACCATAGGTTGGAGGGGGGAAGGATTAGGACAAGGAGGAGGGGGACGAAGAGGAGGAGGAGGAGATGGAGGAGGAGGAGGAGGAGGAGATGGAGGAGGAGGAGGAGGAGGAGGAGGAGGAGGAGGAGGAGATGGAGGAGGACCCCCTCCCCCTCCAACTTATGGTGGTGGTTGTGGAAAACAGGCTCATCTCTCGGGGCTCCCGAATTTCGGAGGTTGATGGACCTCCTGCCCTGACACGTCGATTAGCGAATCGGCCGTTTTCGGTTCGCGAGCGGGCGTCGCGGCCGTCCTTTTTGCGGGTCCAGGGCCGTCGGTTTCGGTCCTACGCCGTTTTCACGAGAGTCGCCGAGCACGTTCCTTTACTCGCAAAGTGCCTACTCGCAAACGTCCGAACAACGCATGTCCGTTTTCGATGTAACTTATCGCAGATCCCCCGCGGCGGATCTAGGCCATTCGCGAGTACTTACTTCGCGAGTAGTGGAACGCGCTCGTCTACAGAGGGAGGTTTACGAAAGGGAGCTCTGTCCACCGCCAGGAACCCCCTGCTCCCCCCCCCGAGCCGCGGGGCCGTGTATGCTCTTGCGCAGGCTGCTCCAGAGCTTGCCCCCCCTTTGGTGTCGGCGCTCTCGCTTCGTGGTCCGTCGTCCCCCCGCCCCCCTCCCTCCTTGGTCAGGCCATCGCAAACGGGGATCAAAAGGGGGCGGGGACCATGGGGGAAATCGCGGACCTCCGCTGCCGAACGAGGCGGCACAGGCCGCATTTTGGGGAGGGCACCTCCCCCCATCCATGGATGCGGCGACCGCGCGCCGAAAATCCATGGATCGCCAATCGACGTCTGCGCGCGCCCGACTTGGCCCCTCTCCTCCCCGCCGGCCCACCCTGGCCCGCCCTGGCGTCCTCCCCCATCGGCCGTTCCCCTGCCCGTCGGGGCTGCCTGGTCACCTATATGTTCGCTGTTCGTCGTTCTAGGCATATGATGTTCCAACCTACTTTAGCCTTGACCGCCAGAAAGAAGTTCGAGCACCAAAGAAGTACCGGAATTTCGACACTTGTCCGGGTGCTCGAAATTAATTCTGGGATGTGGTCCTCAAGTACGACGGGAGCAACATGATTCTAGGCTCGTCGCCCCCACTTGGCCACTCCCATGACCCCCCCCCCCCTCTGGTCCAAGGCCGCCCCTCTGGCGCCCCCGTGTGCCCCTCCTGCTGACGGACGCCGAGATGGCCCCGAGGGGCTCCGAGAGAGGCCGAGAGGGCCAAGAGAAAGCCCCAGTTCCTCTTCTTCCTCCTCCTCCTCAGGGAGGCCACGAGGGGCGCCCCTTCCTTCCCCTCCTCCCTTCACTCGCCGCCCCCTAGCGCAAGAGCCAGGGCACGCGTGCCATTGGTTTGGACATAGCCGTGCCAACCTTCGGCCAGCGAACCGCCCGGCCCGCCCTTGCGACCGGCCTCGGGGTGCGACAGGGAGCTGCTTATAAGGACAAGAAAATGAAGATGAGGAGGGGGAGGAGGAGGAGGAGGAGGAGGAGGAGGAGGAGGAGGGTCCGCGAGGAGAGGGAGGAGGAGGAGGAGGAGGAGGAGGAGGAGGAGGAGGAGGAGGAGGAGGATAACGAGGAGGAGGAGGAGAACGAGGGGGAGGAGGAGGAGGAGAACGAGGGGGAGGAGGGAAGTATGATTCATACGATGGCCCGCAGTTGAGGCGTCAAGCTGGAGCAGGACGAGGACGTGCTGGACACGTGGTTCTCCTCCGGCCTCTTCCCGTTCTCCGTCTTCGGGTGGCCGGACAAGACGGAGGAGCTTGGGCGCGCCGCTCCGCCACTGCGGGGTCCTAGAGCTGTTTCTTTCCTTCTCCTCCTCCTCATCCTCCTCCTCCTCCTCCTCCTCCTCCTCGTCCTCCTCCTCCTCCTCCTCCTCCTCCTCCTCCTCCTCCTCCTCCTCTTCCTCCTCCTGTCACATGTTCCTCCTCCTCCGCTTCCTCGTCCTCCTCCTCCGCTTCCTCGTCCTCCTCCTCCTCCTCCTCCTCTCCTCCTTCTCCTGTTCTCGGCGCTTCCAGGAGAAGTGTCGCACCTCTCTTCATGCAGCAGCACAGCAATGTGACCCTAAAGTGATGCTGGCGTTTTTTCAAGCCATTAGGACAATGCTACTGCGAGCATGTTTAGAAATAGCCGTACCAGCGTAGCGGGTCGCTCTCGTTGTTTCTGCAGTCAAACGGTGCATATGCGGAGCCGATGGCCAGAAAGTGGATGTTGGGTTTGACCGCGCGCAGGTGCACTGATTTGTGCAAATGCGACTGTCTCGCCCTTTGAACTTCAAGTACGCTCGCAACTTGACATTGCTCACCCCGCGGGACTTGCCGGTGTTGCGCATGCTGGCTGGCTGCACATATATAGAACAGCAGTGCAGTTTAGTCGAGTAGAGCAACGCCCACTGCAACGGCGGAACGCGACCACACCTACCTGTGCAACCCAATCATACAGATTTGCATCGTATAACCCTCATCGCGTCCGAACTATCGCATCTTGGCAAGAACAAGTAACATTGATATTCACCCCGCGTCCGATGGTTCATGCGCTCCCCAGTTGTTTTGCTGAGTCCCCGCAGATGGCCGTTTAAGTTGATGTGTTCATGGGTGCATGTGGACAGTTGTTGATGAGCATTAGCGCGCGGGGGAAATTTGGCAGTACGGATTGTGCGTTCTTGGCAATTGGTTTTGAGCCCAGTGTTGATTTAGCGCACGCGTGTGGCCCATGTGGTTTCGATGCCACCAGGGCTCGCAACCAAGATCACGACACGTCCACCGCGCACGATTACTTACAAAAATGATCGTGCTGGGGCCAGATGGGGCGGATCACGAGGTTGCATACTTTCTAGAGTAGGGTCGACATGGTGCCTATCAGACATATGAGAACACGTAGAATGGCCTGGTATGAAGCGGCACAGTCGGGCCAAAAAGGGACGAGACGTTCGCACAACAGATTGGCGCCATATTTAATCATAAATCACGAGTGAGTTGTTGACGTCACTGCTCACGCAATCACTCCACCCTCCTGTTCGCAACTTGTTTTGCTAATTCCATACGGCCGCGTTTGCGGGGACTTCTTGACACTGGCGGGCGCATCTCTGCGGCTGCGCTAGCGTGCAAGCTCGCGCTCAGAGCGGCCAGCTGGTTTGGCACAGCCGATGCGGCCGCCATGGCGCTTACCAATGAGCACCCCGCAGCGCGTTTCAATGGCCGCGCTGGCGCGCGGGCACGTCAGTGCGGGTCGGTGACTCAGGCGGGCGCGGTATCATGATGCCGTCGGCATTGGCGGCAATGATGATAATGATATCAGCGATGGTGGTGGCGATGATGACGATGGCGTCAAGGCCATTGAGGGTGCCGATGCCCATGACGATGGCAACGATGATGAATCACATGTGTGTCGGCAGGGCTGGACCTAAACGGTGTTGTGGGCGATATCGTGGGCCGTTTTCGTTTCGACTTCGTTTTGCGGTAAAGGCGGATTCGAGACAAAAGCGAGGGAAAACGAAAACAAAACGAAAACGAAAAACACTGTTTAGGTTCAGCCCTGTGCGTCGGTGATGAAAGTTGTTGGTTGATGATGGCGGCAATGGCGGCAATGGCGGCGACTGCTGACGACGATAACGGTGGCGATGCGTCGGCGCCGGTGGGGTCATGATGGTGGGGAATGACGCGCGCGCGGAAATGCCGGAAGCTTCGCAGAGTGCCTGTTGAAGCATATGGCGTTTCAAATGTTTCTAACAAGATCCAGGTTACGGTGGAGGTATTCTAGAAGGAAGTTTTGCTTCCAGGCGGGGCCCTCGGACATTCTTTATATTTTAAGGATTGGCTGGCGCAATTCAGGTTCTGGGAACATTCCTTACGTCATGATTGGCACGAGCCCTGTTGTCCAGGGTCTCGACCATTCCTTAACCAATCAAGGAATTTTGCCGTTTCGAGTCTCTGCGTTCCTTAACGATGACTTCCTTGTCTGAAACCTCCACCGTATATTCCTCAATCAGAGCTTGCCTCTGTATGGGGTCCTAGCGGATTCAGATGGTTAGGTTAGGTTTGCCGACGATTTTCGCCGCACGCCAGAATGCCCTGGTGCCCGGGGGTGCCCTGGTGCCAGGGTGCCCGGGTGCCCGGGTGCCCGGGCGTGCCCGGGTGCCCAGGTGCCCTGGTGCCCAGGTGCCCTGTAGCCCTAAAGCTTTAGAGCCCTAATAGCCTCATAGCCTTATAGCCCTAGAGCCTTATAGCCCTATAGCCCTATAGCACTAATAGCCCTATGCCCCGCATAGCCCAACAGCCCTATAGCCATAATAGTCCCATAGCCTTATAGCCATATAGCCCTACAGCCCTATAGCCCTATAGCCCTATAGCTCTATAGCCCAATAGCCCAATTGCCCTAAAGCCCTATAGCCCCATAGCCCCATAGCCTTATTGCCCTATAGCCCTGCAGCCCTATAGCCCTATAGCCCCATAGCCCTATAGCCTTTAACAAAACATTGATTGGGTTTTTTCTCTGGTATCATTGCTTACATCAAATCGGTGTTGGACGGATCTCGACACGCGCGAGTGGCCGCCTCCAGGAGTCCCGGCGAGGCAGGCTTCCAAGAAGCGCCAAAGCTCAGGACGTCAAATGAAGGCCCATCGCGTTTCGTGATAGAGCGTCTTCCAGAGAATGCGTCCGGGAACAGGCTGACTTCCATCTCCTTCCTGCCGTGGTTACCCTCCTTGCTTGCGTGCCCGCTCCCCCTCTCCCTCATTCTCCCGTCGCATCTACTTTTCGTTGCTACAATGCACCCCCGAGCTCCTTTCTCCCCCGTCCAGACACCTCCTCCCTCTCCTTTGCTTCTCTTGGCTGCCCACCCCTGTCGATGAACAGGCGCTGCCATCCGTGTGCCGGCCCACCTCTGGCCGTCTGAGGTGGCCCCGAGTCGGTCACAGCTGTTGCAGGCGCGGCAAGCCCACAGTTACGACTCACCTCTGCTCCTGTCCTCCCCCTACTTCCCCCCTTCCTCCTCCCACGCATTTGCTTACGACACCTCGCGCGATGGCTGCGGCCAGCACGCAGCACTGCACCGCCACTGTGCCTCCACGAGGCACTTTGTAGAGGTGCGAGCTGGACTGCTAACCCCTGTCGACGAACAGTCGCTGGCATCCGTGTACCAGTACAATTCTTGTCTGCTCCGGTGGCCCCGAGTCGGTCACAGCCGTTGCAGGCGTGGCAATACTACATTAACCAATCACCTCCACAGTCGGGGTGCTGAAGCAGGAACCCTTTTCGTTGGGGAGGGGCTCGGTGTTCCTTGATTGTTTTACAGTTTGCCTCAGGTGTTTCTGCGGTTACCCTTGGGAAATCGAAGTTTAACTTATGGGAAAAAAGTGGCCGCGCTCCTTACTTAGAGTTCCTTAGGTCAACGCCCGGATGGCATTCGCGTCCTCCCCATCGTCTTTTCACCCCTACCTCCTCCCACGCACTTGCTCAGGACACTTCGCGCGATTGCTGCAGCCAGCGCGCCTCACTACAACGCCACTATGCCTGCACGAGGCGCTCTGGGGAGGCGCGAGCTGGGCTGCACGAGGCGCTGGCATCCCGTGTACTCAGGTGGCCCCGGATCGGTCCCCGCCGCTGCAGGCGGGGCAGCCATCACCGACCAGGGCGCGAGGTCACTGGAGCGACCGCACCAGTGGATGTATGGACCCAGGGCGCGTCACAGACCAGAGGATTGGCTGATCCAGGGCGCGCCTCGCACCAGGGGGGTTTAGTAAGCATGCGCGCGCCCAAGCGTGAGGCGGGAGGACTGGTCCAAATGCAAACAGACACCACCACTGGCGCAACATTACGAAATTCGTGTCCCCACGTTGCGTCTTGCATTGCGGTGCGATGTATTCTCCCCGCGCTGAAATCGAAGAGCTCCGTGTCCGCCAGGGCGGAAATTCGGGGCGTTGTTCCGATTCATCGTCGCCAACCTGCTCATAGCGCCACGGGCTGTTTTTCAACCCAGTATTTCCTGAGGGTCGGGGACGACGTCGGGGTGGTGTGGTGTGTACTTGTTTCCCCGTTTTCACCAGGATGCCGTATAGACCAGAATCCGCTCTCTTGTGCGAATCTCAGTGCGGAACCGGAAAAAAAGCATCGGTGTATAAAGTTCGGTTCCTTACGAAGCCATGCTGCTTCAAGCCGAGTGCCTTGCTCCTCCTGGTTGCCCTTCCCGCGCGCTCCTCCCCCGCCACCCTCTGCCCCGTGGTGTCGGCAGCCAAACATCTAACACGCTTACTCTTGCGTGTAATTCTTGCACTTCTCTATTCAAGGTCGTGCTCTGCTTCGGCTAATTCTTGTGCGTTCGCTAAATCTGCAAACCGCGGCTGCTCTAGCCGTGCAAGATCTAATCGTGCTTCGGACACAGCTGACATCTGGACACGTAGAGAACCGTCCGCCTGCGGCACAGCCACTTCGGCTGGCGAGTCTGCCCATCCCTCGAGCGTTCGGCCCCTGGGAGGTGTCCTGGACTCGAGCAGTGGCGAAGCGTGCCGGCTCGCCTGCAGCCCCACCAACCAATGTTCTAAGAACCTTTTCTGTGGCTTCCCACGAGATGTTCTTAAGACATTTCTGGCGGAGTCTGTCTTGTTTCATCGCATCGGGCTTGCGTTCTAAGAACCTTGTTTTCGTTATGAAAACATTTGTGGGTTCCAAGAACATTTCGTGGTAGGACTACAGGAATGCCGGGACGGTCGGTCCCTGCTCTATGGACGCTTATCGGCCTTCTTGGCTGCCCGGGAATTTCTCGCAGCCGCGGCAAAACAGCGCTCCAGAGCTTTCGAGGAGGGCCCCGGCAGAGCCCCCGGGCGGCCCAGAGAGTCCCCCGAAAGTCGCCGAGCGCGTTCCACTACTCGCAAAGTGCCTACTCGCAAACGTCTGAAAAAAAACACCTGTCTGCTTTGATGGAATGTATTGTAGAGCCCCCGAGGGGGAACCAGGCCATTTGCGAGCAGTTACTCCAGATTTCACAATAAAAGGGGGGTAGTCTGATTTGGGATGGGATCAGATTTGCGCTGTCTTGGAGGGTTCCAGTGGGTCTGGGCAGACCGCCGCCCTTCATGGCTTGTTGGGGGGGGTCTGGAATTGCCCGTCTGTGAGGGTTGTGGCCCCCTCCCTCTTATGGCGAAATCTGGAGTACTTGACGAGTCGTGGAACGCGCTCGTCGAGAAAGGGCTCCCCGGGGCGCCGGACGGGCCACGAGCGCCCGGGGAGAGCCCACGTCGCCCCCGGGAGGTCCCCGGGGGCACCCGAGCGGCGCCCGAGAGGCCTTCAGAGAGGCCCTCAAGAGAGGCCCCCCCCAAAGCGGCTTCCAAGAGACCCCCAGAGGCCCACAGCCTGGGCCAAAAACCGAAGGCAAGCCTCGCGCTCTGGAAGCTCTCGCTGTTTCGCTTCCGAGTCCAGGGAGTGCTCCCCAGAGAATGCGACCACGACGATGATCATGACGACCACGACGACCACGACACCAACCACGACCTCCGACGGTCCCCAAAGGTGTGACGACGACGACGACGACGACGACGACGACGACGACGACGACGACGACGACCTCGATGGCTTCCAAAGGTTTCTGGAGGTCTCCAGAAAAAGTTTCCGCGAGCTTCTAGACGTCTCCAGACGCCACCAGAGGCCGTAAAAGAGCCTGTTGCGTCCGAGACGTGCAAACGCGTTTAAAAACAACGACGACGACGACGGCGACGACGACGAAGGCGACGGCGACGGCGGCGGCGGCGGCTGCATCGCGATGGCGGTGACCAGGTGGTGATTCCTCTTTCTCGAGGGTATCCCCCCCTCCCATGTACCCTGCACTGATACGGCTTTTGTCCTCGATTAGAAACTGAGCCCACGTGTAGCGCTCGATAGTAAACACATGTCTCTATATACGCGTGTCTGTGTGCATGCATCACACAAATATGATAGATACCACGTTCGTGGACGAGCCATGACGACGCCCGCAGGGGAAGGATGAGGAGGAGGAGCAGGATTGGTTCTCCTCTTTCTTTGGGAGGCCGCCCCAGGACATGAGCGCGTTCTTCCCGACCTCGCTGCTCGAGACTGGGCACGACATCTTGTTCTTCTGGGTTGCGAGGCCTGTCTCCCCCTCCCTCCCCCCTTCATCTTCTCATTTCTCGGTCGTCCTCTCTCCCCCCCATCGTCTCCCATCCCACTCACCGTCCCATCCGCTTCCCCTTACCCCGCCACTTCCCATTCCCTCGCCTCCAATCCCTTCCCCCTCCCCTCAACTCCAAGGATGGTGATGATGTCCCTCGGCCTGACGGACAAGCTGCCCTTCCACACGGTCTACTTGCATGCAATGGTCCGGGATGCGCACGGGCGGAAGATGTCCAAGAGCCTCGGGAACGTGATCGACCCGCTCGAGGTCCAGAAGGGAGGAGGAGGGACGAAACGCGAGGGAGAGGGGGGAGGGAAGGAGGAACCGACAGGGAAATTAAGAGGAGGAGAAGGAGGAGGAGGAGGAGGAGAAGAGGGAAAGGGAGGAGAGTGCGGAGGATGAGGAGGGAGGGAGAGCAGGAGAAGGAGGGGTGGAGGAGGAGGGGGGGAAGAGGAGGGGGAGAAGGGAGGAGAAGGAGGAGGGGGAGGGGGAGGAGGAGAAGGGGGGAAAAAAAGCGGAGGCGGAGGAGGACGGGATGAGGAATGGAAGGAGGAGGAGGACGAGGAGGAGGAGGAGGAGGAGGAGGACGGCGGGCCGACCTCGCGAAGACCTCGCGACGGCCGAGATGGCCCCACAGGAGCTCCACCGAAGGCGCCAGTGGCAGGGTTCGCATGGCGGCCCCGGGCCATTGCGGCACACCCCTCACGAGGATCGTGGCAACATAGTTGTGCTGCTTCAACAACCGAGCCTGGGCGTCGTACTCCGCCTTGTCGGCGTGCAGCGCCACCTCCTCTCTCCTCCCTCATCGCTCTCAAAGCCCTCTCCTGCTTCTGCTCTTCGGTCAGAGGGACGCCGTCCTTGTCGTCGTCGGCGCCCGCGAAGACGGCCACGGTCGTGTTCCTGACCAAGTGTCAACTTCCCAAGCTGTTCCCAGCCTCCCGCCCTGCGGAGCGGCGCGACACGCTATCCGCTTGCAGGGCACAGCACGTCGCCAGGGCCGCCGCCGCGACACGCTGAGCACAAGTTCGCGACCGTATTGCAGCATCGCGGATGCATTTAGGGCTTCCTTCGGCCCAGGAGGGTCCCTCTTCGGCCAGATGAAGCCCAAGATGCTGAGCGTGTCGCGGCGACGGTCCTGGCGACAGGAGGGCCCCTCCTGTCGCCAGGGCCGCCGCCGCGACACAAGAGGCAAAAGTCCGCGACCGTATTGCAGCATCCGAATGCGTCTTGGGCGCCGCTCGTGGTTTTTTCCCCGTGTCTCATGCCTCCTTCCTGGAGGGAGGGACGAGAGACGGGGAGAACCACGAGCGGAGGACACATCCGTAGCCGCGCCTCCGCGGCCTGGGTTCCGGGGCGCGCTCCCGTGGCTACGCGGTCGCAGTGATGCGTTGCGCACGGGGCATCCGCGAGAAAAGCGCCCTGCACCCTCGGGGGTGTGTGACCCCAGGGGGCCCCGCCCGCGAGGCCGCAGATACGGATGTGCGGTTCGCCTGCAAGAGAGGGGGGGTCGGGCAGACCGCCCCCCCACCCCCCTCGCGCCGCCCTCCCGCGCCTCCGAGGTCATCGAGGGCATCGGGCTGGAGGAGCTGCACAAGAAGCTCTACGAGGGAAACCTGCCCGATAAGGAATCCAGACCTCCTGCGCGAAGGAGGAAGAGGAGGAGAAGGAGGAGGAGGAGGAGGAGGAGTACGGAAGGTTTGTGGCGCCCTTGGGCGTTTTTCGGTCGGCGTCTGGAGGCCTCCAGGGACCTGGAGTCCCGCGGGGATCTCCAAGAGATGAGGAGGAAGAGGAGGACTCGGGTCGGGGGCCCCCAGACGGGGCGGTGACCACACCGTGCGGTGAGTCGGTGGGGATTCGGGGTCACCGCACGGTTTTGGGACTCGGGCCGTTCTCCGAGGACGTCTCGGGCGACAGGGGCCTCCAGGGTCCAAAAACCGTGCGGTGACGGACCGTGCGGTGAGGTCTCTTGGGGTTCCGAGGTCACCGCACGGTCTGTCACCGCACCGCTTCGGGACTCCAAGTCGGGGTTTTGGACGTGGTTGGCCCTTTCTCGACCTCCGGCGATTTCTTGCGGGGCTCGGTTCTGGATTATCTTGGCATGGTCTTTCTTCCGAGTTACGCGTTGTCGCCACCACCACCACCATAAGTTGGAGGGGGAGGGGGTCGTCCTCCTCCTCCTCCTCCTCCTCCTCCTCCTCCTCCTCCTCCTCCTCCTCCTCCTCCTCCACCTCCTTCCCCCTCCAACTTATGGTGGTGGTGGAAAACAGGCCCATCATGAGAAGCCTCCTGGAGGGCCTGCCCTCTTTGGGGCCTCTTGAAGGTCTCTTGGGCCATCTTGGGGCTGTCTTGGTCCGTCTGGCGCCATCGGAGGCCGTCTTTGGGACCTCTCTGTGCCGTCTTGTGGTCTTCTTGGGGCGACGTCGGGCCACCGTGGAGGTCCCTGAGCCGTCTTGGGGGCCTCTCCAGGGCCCCATGGGCCGTCTTGGAGGCATCCTGGGCTGCCCTGGAGGCCTCTGGAGCCCTCTTGCGGGCGATCAGAGGCGCGAAACGGTGGGAGCGCGAAAGACAGTCAAAAGCGCAGGAGCAGCTTCTTCGGCCCTCTTGGAGGTCCGTTCGGAGCCCTCGTGAGCTGCGCCTTGAGGGCCTCTCTTTGCTGTCTTGGGGCGCTTTGAAGGCGCTTTCGGACCATGTTGAACCCGTATTGGAGCCTTCTCTAGGGCCTTTTGGGCCGTCTTGGGGGCCTCTTGAACCGTCTTGCGGTCCCCTTGGGCCGCCGTGGGGCTCGATTGGGGCCTCTTGGGGTGTCTTGGAGCCTCCTTCGCATTGGTTTGGGCCGCCTCGGGCGTTCGGAAGCCGGCATGTGTTCTAAAGGTCGCTCAACAATTTAATAATGGGAGTTCATGATGTTCGGCTCCTGGATGCCTCTTGGGCGTCCTCTTGATACCGCCTTTGGATGTCTCGTGGGCCGTCTTGGGGCAATCGTGGGGTCATCTCGGCCGTCGCGAGGTCTTCTTCAGCACTCTTGGGACCGTCTTGGCGGTCTCTTGGGCCATCTTGGGGTAAGATTAAGTCTCTTGGAGCTGTTTTCGGTTGTATTTGAGCCGCTGAGAGGCGGAACAGAGCGCCGAAGAGCAGACCCAGTGGGACTGATTTTCTGACGACGAGCGCAGCGCAGAGTGGTGGTGGTCGCCCCTAGAAAACATATACAAGTGGCACGTGTGTGCCCAGGCTCATACAAAAAAACTGAAAAGGCGTTTGAAGCAGGAAAAGGCTCCAGGAGGCCCCAGGATTGTGAGTGTTGTGTGGGTGTGCGTGATGTGTGCTCTGTGTTGTGCGTGTTTTCTGTGCGTTGTATGTGTGTTGTGTGTGTGTGTGTTATGTTTGTCTAGCGTGTGATGTGTTGGGTGTGATGTGTGTCTCTGTGTGTGCATGTAGTTCTGAGGCCCCAGGAGGCCCCAGGCGGCCTCAGGAGGCCCCAGGAGACCTCAGGGAGGCTCCAGGAGGCCCTCAGAGGCTCCAGGAGGCCGCAGGAGGCACCAGGAGGTTCCAGGAGACCCCCAGGAGGCTCCGAGTCTAGGGTACCAGAATGTACAGAAAGCCCCAGGAGGTTCCAGGAGGCCCCCAAGAGGCTCCGAGGCGGGGTCTGGGGTACCAGAAGGCGTCGAGGCTCGATGTTGGGAGGATGTCTCAGGCGAAACCGCCATTCTCTGAGAATCGGGGTCAAAATCATTGAAATGACAATGTGTGTTTGAAGGTTTTATGTTACAATGTTGAAATTCCGCTGTGTGTTTGGATCCTGACGTCACGATCTGTGTGAGGGGTGCCACCGATTTTCAGAAGTTCGAGGATGTCCCTAGCGAAACGGCCAGAAACATCGCGAACGACGCGGCACGTATGCATTAATCGCTTATGAGCTCTATTCCCTCGGAGAGGTGCGTATGAGAATATGTTGTATACATATATATATATAGAGAGAGAGAGAGAGAGAGAGACAGAGAGAGAGAGAGAGCCCCCCGCAGCCCCCCGCAGCTGCGGATAAGAGTGCGGGGGCGGCGGGGACTTGTGCAGTCTGCGAGCCTCTGAAGAAGCCCGCCGCAGGCGCAATATTCAAGCTATACAACGAGCCCGCCGCAGACGCCGATTTTGTGTTAAAACAATGTAGGTGGGTCGCGGGATGGGTAGCAGATGGGTCGCGGGTGGGTCGACGGTGTGTCGCGGGCCAGGTCGCGAGCCAGGTCGCGGGTAGGTCGCGGTTGGGTCGCGGGGTGGGTCGCGGGTGGGTCGCGGGTGGGTCGCGGGTGGGTCGCGGGGTGGGTCGTTGGTGGGTTGTTGGGTGGGTCGCGGGTGGGTCCCAGGCCAGGTCGCGGGGGGGACGACGCCACAAAACAGCAACAACAAAACAACAACAACCACAACAACAACCACAACAACAAGAACACCCCACTTCAGCCACGCACCCAGGGACAGTGAATGACCGTTCGGGCCCCTTCACTCTGACAGATGCACATCTAACTCGACCAGGCAGCAGAAGAGCACTCGCTCGTCCCTGTTCCCTTCTGTTTGTCGTTCGCGGTTCGTCCGTTCTCTCCTCCTCGCTCCTCCCTCTTGGGGTGCCGTTGTGTTTCTACATTCCAGTTCCGGCCATGTGCGTCGCAGGCGATCGTCGCACATCACCCTTGCCCTTTCTCCGTCGCCTCCCCTGCGTCCAGTGAACTTCGAATGACTGGCGTCATCAGGTTGAGTGCTGGTGTGATGTGTCTGCGAAGGGGGAAGAAGCAACTGACAGTAATATGCGTTTGTCAAAGAAAGACAGGTACATTCGACCAGTTCCCAGCATGCACAAGGCATGGTGGCGGGTTCTGCGTGGTGAGAACCCGCTTTTGTTGCGTTACTTCGGCCGAACCGAGGCTGAAACGCTGCTCCCCCAAGAGGAAGAGGAGGAAGCCTTCCCGAAAAGAGATGGAGACCTCTCTGCAGAAGAAACCAAAACATCACCTCCGTGCCCAGCCGGGTCCAGTGGAAACCCATGCCAAGATACACCATGCTTGCCTCCAAAGTGCCCTGGGTTTCCGTTGGGTTTCGATGGTTGCGCTGTGGAAAGCGTGGCGTTCCCTCACCAAACATCAGCGGACCACCGACGGCCCCTTGCCAAGCACGGTGTCGCTCGTTCGGAAGAGTGGCCTTTCGCGGGGGTGACCTTTGGTGTGGGCGCCCAAACGGGTCCCCTTAGCATTGGCTTCCCCTCTGCTCCTCCTCCTCCTCCTCCTCCTCCTCTTCCCTCCTCCTCCTTCTCCTCCTCCTCCCTCCTCCCCTCGCTAGAGATGAGCCTGAGGGGACCGTGCGAGGAACGCGCACGCCCGAGTGCGAGAGGAGATCGATGTGCTTCACGTCGCAGCCTGGAGCATGAGCTACTGTTTGCCTTAGTTGCCTCGATACGCCCGTTTTGATACGCAATACGTCCCGTGTTCAAGACGTCCGTGTCAATACGTTGCGTGTTGGCTCCACGTATTGGACCACGTTGTGGCGAACGTATCGCGGCGGACCTACGTTTTCAGCCTACGTGTTGAGTTCCGTATCGATATGGTACGTGTTGCGTGCGTGTTGCGTATCGGGGCGGCTAAGCTGTTTGCGCGACCCCCCGCAAGAAGTTAGCTCTGCTGGCGCACCTGTACTTGGCCCCCCCCCCCCGCGGCCTTCTAGAGCCGCGCACTGAGGGTGGCTCTCGCCTAGGGTCGCTCTCGTGCGCATCGCCGATGCATCGGCGGTGCGGCGCGATCCTCCGGCCCCGTCCGCTCGGACCCAAGTTGGGAGGCCTCCAAGCCTCCCCTCCCCTCGGCCAGGAGATCGAGAGGGCGAAGGAGGGGCAGAAGCAGGACTTCCCGGACGGCATCCCCCAGTGCGGCGCGGACGCGCTGCGCTTCGGGCTCCTCGCGTACACCCTGCAGGGACGGGGGGGGGGGGGGTCCTGAACCCCAGGGCCAGTTGCGGGAGAAGGAGGAGGAGGCGGAGGAGGAGGAGGGCCTTGACCTCCAGCGTCTTGGACAAACCAAGGCGGAGGATCAACGATCCAGGTTTGCGCACGTCTTCCATTCCATGTAACGCCTCCACGAGACTTTTCGTGGCCTCGTCTGGATCCCGCCCCGAAATCCTATTCAGAACGCGCGCCCTGAGCAGATGCGGGGGCGACCCATGACCCCCGAATGCAGACCTCCAACGCCTCTGTAAGTTCCCAGACGCTTTCGTTCCTCATTGTTTGTCCTGCTCCTCTCGTCTCCTCCTCGATCCTCCTTCTCGCCTGCCTCCTGCCCTCCCCTGGTTGCCCTGCCGTCGCGCGGGCGTCCTTTCATGATCCGGTCCGTCGGGCGCCGTTTCCCATTCCCGGGTCCGCCAACATCATGTCCACGATGGGAAGCAGCCCAAGGGAATGGGGTGGGACTTGGGGCCGCGTGGGCAGAAAGCGTGACGTCGGAGCCTTGGGGGGGATGGGGGAGAGGGCAAGCCAGGTGCGCTCGTGCCTCACCTGACAACCGATCCCTCTCTCCCATCCCCTCCCACGGCGCTGATTGCTAAGGCCTTACGGCCAGTGCCGCCGACCCTGGATACCTCGGCCCTCGAGGGTGACGGGATGCGTGATAAGACGTCGGAGGTAAATGAAGACGTGGCGGAGGAGGAGGCGGAGGAGGAGGAGGAAGGGGAGGAGGAGGAAGAGGAGGAGGAGGAGGAAGAGGAGGAGGAGGAGGAGAAGGAGGAGGAGGAGGAGGCCTCCCTCCCATCCCCTCCTACGGCGCCGATGTTTCTCTACCCGCGGACACGTGTCATGGCCGACCGGCGATGCAAACAGAACGACCACCTCGTGTGCTGCGCCATCGGGAAAAAGGCGAGCTACTTGCACATGGGGGAGGAGGAGGTGGCGGATGAGCAGGAGGAGGAGCGGGAGGAACAGAATCAGGGCAAACAGCATCGGCAGGAACTAGAGCGGAAGGACCCAGAGGGAGAGGAGGGCCAGGGGAAGGCGGAAGGGGGGGAAATGAGAAGGGCGGCAACGATGAATACAGATTCGGGTTCAGAGAAGTGGCCCGCGCGGGGGCGAGACGACTAGCAGCAGCAGGAGCTGGCTTGGAGGGAGCGGGAGGAACAGGAGGACCAGCACGGGGACCTTGCTCCGCTTCGTGCGCGGCGCGCGTGCGGGCAGAGCGCAGCTGCGCCAGCTCCCGCCATGTGGTCTGGGGCCAGTCGGAGACCAAAGCGAGTCGGCGGGTCCGGGCCGTCGCCCCCGGTTGTCCCGCTGGCTGCCCCGATCGCCGAGGCAACCGCGAAGCACGGGCCATGGGAGCCCATGTGCTCCCGCGGCGTCTGCTTTCGCAGCGCCTTCGAAGTGCCACTCGGGGCGCTCGAACTCAATCGGCGGAATTCCGCGGTTGCACGCCGGCACAAACAATCTTTCCAGCGGCGCCCCGCCGATCGTTGATGCGGCGCGGCGACACCAAAGGTCACTTTAGCCTGGGGTCACTCCCACGCGTAGTCGACGTGAGCGGGACAGGTGTGAAACCATGATTTGGGTTCCTTTGCCCGGAGGCAATGTGATTTTTGAGAATGGGCTGCTTTCGCCCGAGACCTGGAGCAATGCGCTTTTTTGTTACATGGGCTCCTTTCGCCCGAAAGCCGCGGGGCCAACAAAACACATGGGAGCTGGAACCATGCGATGTTCCGAGCGTTGTCATCATGGTTGTCCTGGTGGTTGTCCTGATAGATAGGTAGTGGCATCGACCGATACATTGACAGTGTGATTTTCGGTTGGTAGATTGCCATACCGAAGGATAGTGACACCGGTAGATAAGAGAGAGCGCGTTCCTTTGGACGCTGGGAGGGGGGGGTCGAACCAGGGGGGGGGCGCCTGAAGTGCAAGGGTGGGGGATTGGAGCCCGGGGGTGGGGACTCAATACGGGGAGGCTCGAACCGGCGACCACGACGACGAGCGAACTTTAGTAGGATGTTAGTATGGCTGGATCAGGCCCTAGTGAGATCCTATGAGAATTGGGTCGAGACCTAGTAGGGTTCAATTCGAGCTGGATCGAGCTATAGTATGATTATTCCTCTCGCTTCGCGGGGTGCACGTCCGGAGCACGTACAGTCCAGCCGTTGTGGGGCTTTTTGGAAGCCTCCTGGGGGGTTCTTGGAAGCTTCTTGGAGGCTTCCTGTGGCGTTTTGGGGGTCTCCTGGGGGCCTCTTGGCGGCCTCTTGGGGGCGTCTTGGGCCGTCTTGGGCCGTCTTGGGGCGCTTTTGCGCCGTTTGGCCCCTTCGGGGGCCTTCTTGGGAGCCTCTCGCGGCCGCCTTCGGGCCCTCTTGGAATCCTCATGGGCCGTCTTGGGGGCCTCTTGGACCGTCTTGGGGGCCTCTTTGGGCTGACTTGGGGCTCCCTGGGGTTGTCTTGGGGCCACCTTGGGTGCTTCTTGGGTTGTCTTGGGACCATTTTGGAGGCTGTTTGGGCCGTCATGGGCTTCTGAAGAGCCGACAACACCGAGAACGCTGAAATCTTTGAACAACTAACAAACAATCATGTGTTTGGCATCTGGAGGCCCTCTGGTGGGCTTTCTTCGGGCTCTCTTGGGCCATCTTGGGGGCGTTTTGGGCCCTCTTGGGGCCATCTTGGGCCGTCTTGCGGCCGTCTTGTCCCGTCTTGAGACCATCTTCAGCCGTCTTCACGCCGTCTTGGACCCTCAAGAGGCCCAAGGAGCCGAAATCATCGATTTTCCACAGGTTGTCATAGGTTTTGAGGCCCAGAAGGGGGCCACCACTTTTGGTACGCCCGGAGGTCTGGCGAGGGGCGCACGGGAGCGGCGCCGAGGGCGCCGCCCAATGAGTGGGTCGTCGTCGTTGCCGTCGCCGTCGCCGTCGCCGTCGCCGTCGCCGTCGCCGTCGCCGTCGCCGTCGTCGTCGTCGTCGTCGTCGTCGTCGTCGTCGTCGTCGGCGTCGGCGTCGGCGTCGGCGTCGGCGTCGGCGTCGGCCGTCGGCGTCGGCGTCGGCGTCGCCGTCGGCGTCGCCGTCGGCGTCGGCATCGTCGGCATCGTCGGCGTCGTCGTCGTGGGCGCTGGCGGTCAAACCTTTCGCGGGCGTCTGAACCTGATGCTCGTGCTCTTTTGGGGCCGTCGCCGAGGTTCGCGCCGAGGTTCGAGCCTCGAGGGTCGAGGTTCGTGGCCTTCTCTCCGTCGAGGGCTTCCCCGTCGCCACGGCTGGACGCAGCTCGAAAAACTGACGACGACGACGCGGAGAACGACGGTTTCTTGGGGGCCTCTGCGGCCAAGTACTTCGCGTCAGGTGTATTTCCTTGCACTGGCCGGCTTGACAATGGATTCACCTATCCACCCGCACTCCCACGGAGCGATTACGACACGACGTACGCAAGATCGAAGGACCCACTGATAAGGAACCCCCAGATACTCCCGGGACCCTTCCGAACAACTCCGCGGACGGAGTGCGCATCCCGAAGCTGCATCGGCTCAAAGAACCGAGGCCGCTCGCGGGCGTCCGTGTTGCCAGGGTGGCAATGCCTGGTCCTGCTGATAACAAAGAGGCCCGCAAGAGGGCCAAACGCGCGAGCGATGAGAGAGTGATCAAGGAACGGCAAAAATGGCAAAAGCGGGAGCTTGACCCGGCTGACAGCAGCGACTTGGCGGAGGCCGCGCCACTCGCTGAGGCGGCAGGCGCCCAGATCGCGCCTGTCGCTGACGCGAGTGCCGGAGACGAGGGGGGCGCCGCGGAGCGTCCCGCGGAGGCGGACGAGGGCGCCGCTGCCGCGGCGGCTGCCGGAGACGAGGGGGGCGCCGCGGAGCCTCCCGCGGAGGCGGACGAGGCCGCCGCTGCCGCGGCGGCTGCCGCGCCCGAGCCCCGCGCCTGCGCCCCCTCTGAGGAGCGCGCCGGCCCCGCGGTGGCGGAGCCTCCGCTCGACGAGCGCGGCGGCGCGGCGGCGGCGGACCCCGCGCCCGCGGCGGTGGCCCCCGCAGCCGCCTTCGCCCCCGCGGCCGAGCCGCCGCCGGCGGCGCCTGCAGCGCCCGGGACGGCCGCGACGAACGCAGAGGAGCCGCACTGGACGGCGCTGCTCCTCCAGGCTTCCGCTCTCGTCCAGCGGGCCAAAGAGCTGCGCGACCAGGAGCGCGCCGCTCAGACCGCGCAGGCTTTTGGCGTCGACACGGAGCTCCCGCCGCGGACCCCTGCCCCCAACGGCGCCCTCGACGGCCTCCAGAGCGCGGGCAAAGGTCTGCGGGCGCGAAATCATCATGAAACACAGTTTCCGGAGCCCCATGTGTCCACCAAGCTGCTTGCATTGACGCTCTTCTACGCGCACGACTATTCAGGTGCGCACCACTGCGCCCGCCGCACTGCAATCGCCCGCGCGGCGGACACTTCCGCGTATGTTTCGGCGCACCACAACGCACTCGCGATGTGCTCGCGAGCGCCACTTCCGCTCTGCGTTTCCGATCGCACTTCTGCGCGTCTACGCGCTACATTGCTCCGCGGCGCGTATACACGCCCACACTCTCCGAAGTCCAGTCGCCTACTGAATGCCGCGCATCCACCGCAATCCTCTGCATCGCGCAGGCGTGATTCGCGCGCGCGGCTCTGGCGCGCACGGCCACGCCGAGCACGTACACGGAACCGAGACCACGCGCTCCTGCTCAAGTCATTCCCGGATGCGCGCGTCATGCGCGCACCGCCCACGCACCGCGCCCGCCGCGCGCGCACTGCACCGAGCGCTGCTGGTTACACACCTGCCCGGCGGCGCACTACGTTGCTCCCAGGCGCACCTCGGACCCCGCAACCTCCGGTTGCCTTCCCACTCCCGCGCATGTATCCGACATCTCGGCTACGCGCATGCGCCCGCGCCTTCGCGCGCGTCGTTCCCGCGCGCATGCCCCAGTGGGCCACGTGCACGTGAGCACCGCTGCGCGCCCTTCGCCAGATTCCCCCCGCATCCACGGCGACGCGCCAGGGCGCGTCTCCCCGCCCGCACTCTTCGAATAGTACCTGCCGCCATGTTCCCACCCACATGCTCGAGTTTACTCCAACACATACGCCCGCGACTGGGCTCCGCGTGTGGGATCGGCGCGCTGTGCCTCCGCGCATGCGTCAGTGGCTTGCGTCCTGCGGCATGTGCCGGGAGGCTCTTGTGGCCCCCGACTCGCGCCTGTCTTCCATGCGTTTTCCCGCCACACCTCCCGCGGCCGATGCGCGCGCCCCTCTTTCCCACCTTTCACGGGGCGTCCACGCGCACGTCGGGCTCCGGAGGCTTAATACGTTTTGATTTCGCGCTCGCGTTCAGGCAAGGGGCGCTCCGCCGCCGAGGCACCTGCAGCACGCGAGCGCGCCCGGCAGACGAGCACTACCGTCAGCTTCGGCATCCTCCGCGGCCGCCCATGGGCGGACGTGCCGAAGGAGCCGAAGCAGGGGGGGCAGGCCAAGGAGAGCGGGCGCGCCCGCGTCGCCTGGACGGAGGGCCTCGACGGAACCGCTGTCGAGGCTCGCGACGCCTGGCGCGAGGGCAAGCGGAAAGTGCACGAGGCCGTCGCTTTCCTGCCCAACAAGCTCGCGCTCCAGGACACGAGCCTCCCCTCCGGGCTTGGAACTGCCCTCGGCCATTGGTTTTCCAGCCGGGCAGCGGCCGCGAGCCGCGCAGCGTCAAGGGCGCTCCATTACCACGCGCGCGTGCGCCAGAAGGTCCCCGCGGACCATTGACTTTGCAGCCTGTGCCCGCGCGGCGGCAGCTGCGCACGGGCCCGCGGCTGCGGCGCCTGCTGGGAAACCTCAGGTTCGTTGACAGTTCTGGCTTCCGTAGGGGGGGTCCGCAGGACCTCCAGGAGCATTTCGATGCGGCGAGGAGGCGCAAGGGGTACGCTGTGGTCTCCTTCTCCAAGACTGCGAAGGAGCGCGGCCTGATCCCCGGCCTGTCTGTCGACGAGTTGCTTACCGACGACCCCTTCGACCGGTGCGACTTTTCTGCGGCCAACGTCGAGCCCCATTGGCACGCCTGAGCCGCACTACGGGCACCCGACTACAGACAGTCAGGTAACTTGGTACAATTTGAGAAATCGGCCCGGAGCTTCAAATCCCACGACGTTACCTGACTGCCGGCACCGAAGAAATGGAAGACGGCCCCAGAACGAGGGTCTGAGCCTCTCCCTAGGCGTCGGATTCGGGTACGGATCCGCTACGGATCCTAGGCAGATCCGATGCATTTTTGACGGATCCGTGCGTTTTGAGTGGTGAAAACCTACCATGCTTGGACGGACCCTGTCCGACCACTCTACCCTTGTATAATATCAATTAAGGGCAGTGATGGGTTCCGAGTCCGACGTACGGCCGGGGGCAAGGGGCAGGGGCCAGAGGGGGGGAAAGGCGTCTTCTAAAATTGTACCGCGGCGCACCTTTTAGAATTTTACCGTCCCGGTGCTACCTGACCCCACGTTTCCCCCTCTCCGACGTCGCCGCGGCCGCCGTCGCGGACGTCGATGTCGTCGCCATCGCCGCCGCCGTTCTCGCTGTCGCCGTCGTCGACATAGCCGGCGTCGTCGCCGCCACCGCCGTCTGTCGTCGCCCTCGTCGTGGCCGCCCGCGGGGGCTCGTGGCCGTGCTGGACGCGCCTGCGACCCCGCGCGTCTGGTTGAGACCACACTCAATCATAGACGCACGCATTTTCAGGGTCCGTCAAATCGTACCAACATTACCTGACTGTCTGTAGGAGTCGCATCTCGGTTGGGCTTTTCATATCGTCACAGCGTTCCAGACAACCCAAGAGGCAGCCGACAACGCCACAGGACGGTCCAAGAGACCCCCAAGGTCGTTCGAGGACGGCCCGCAGGGACTCCAGAAGAGGCACCCGACAACGCCACAGGACGACGACGACGACGACGACGACGACGACAGCGACGACGACGACGTAGACAACGACGACGACGACGACGACGACGACGACGACGACGACGACGACGACGACGACCGCGACCGACGGCGGCGGCGGGGGCGGCGGCGGCGGCGCAGCCACCCAGGGAGCCGCCAGGTCTCGGCAAGGTATGCGTGGCCTTCCAGTCCGCCGGACGTCCTCAGGAGAGGGCGGAGGAGGAAGGGGAGGGCATCAGACGGAGGAGGAGGAGGAGGAAAAGGAGGAGGAGGAAAAGGCGGAGGAGGAGAAAAACGAGAGGAACCAGGAGGAGCACGCGTCAGCAACCCGCGTCTTGGGCGGCATGCCGGCGGAGAGCGCTCAGGGAGACGGGAGGATGAGGAGAAGAGAGGGGAGGAGGAGGAGGAGGAGGAGGAGGAGGAGGAGGAGGAGGAGGAGGAGGAGGAGGAGCACGTCCGTTTCGCTTGAGACGTACTCGGAGCTCTGGGTTCCCAAGTGTCCTGGCTTGAGGGAACCTGGCCCATTTCGCTTGAGACATCCTCGCAAATCTGCGTTCCAAGATGCGGTTCTCAAAGCGTTCTAAGCCGTTTCGCTTGAGACGCCCGCGGATCTCAGGGATCTGCGATGCCGTGACTTGGGGTGTTCTGGCCCGTTTCGCTTGGGACATCCTCTCACCTCAGGGGTTCGACATGCGGTTTTCGGGAATTGTTCCCGCCCGTCTCGCTTGAGACATCCTTTGAACTCTGGGCTGCGGCATGCCCTGACTTTGGGCTATCTGGCCCGTTTCGCTTGAGACATCCGTACAACTCTGGGTTCCAAGATGTGACTCTTGAAGTGTTCCGGCCCGCTTCGCGTGAGACATACTCGGAAGTCTGATGATTTGAAGCGATTTGGTCCTCTGGCCCGCTTCGCCTAGGACATCCTCACAACTCTGGTTTGCAGCATGCGATTCTCGACGTGTTCGGCCCCGTTTCGCGTGAGACATCCCCGGAACTCTGCGGCCCTCGAAGTGTCCCGCCCGTCTCGTGTGAGACATCCTCGGAACTCTGCGGTCCGAGATGCCCTGACTTGTGGTGATCAGGCCCGTTCCGCCTGGGACATCCTTGCAACTCCGGTTTCCAAGATGCGGTTCTCGAAGTGGTCCCGGCCGTATCGGTGAGACATCCTCGGGACCCCGGGGTCCGCAAAGTGATTTTGCCTGGTTCGTTTGGGACAGCTTCACATCTCACGGTTCCAAGATGCGGTCCTCGAGGTGATCCCGCCCGTCTCGCGTGAGACATCATCGGAAACCTGGGGTCCGAGACGCCTTGACTTGGTGTGATCTGGCCCGTTTCGCTGGTGATCTCGCCCGAGCGCTGGCCACCATCCCTGTGTTTGATGTGTGCTGTCGTCTGCGCGTTGGCCTCATCCTTATTTGGACCACTACTCTGGCCCCAGCGCCGGCCACATCCGTATCATTTGGGTATGGTGCTGCCGCTCGAGCGCCAGCCACATCCTCGATTGGAAATGGCGCTCCCGCCCGAGCGCTGGCCACAGGTAGCGCGCTCTGACGCTCGTAGTCTCCATCTTGGAGGGGTTCTTGTTCCTGCGGATGCATGGCATTGGCTGCCATGTGCAGCCAGGGCGGGGCTTGCCTGATCAATGATCCAGGTTGCATGGATCATGGAGGTTCATGGCCTGCGCGGGCATGTGCGGGGAGGCGGTGGCGTCAACGCTGCCCCGCACAGAGGTGCACAGGTGGGTGTGCACGCACTGGGCGGCATGTGCGCCGACAGCACCACGGAAAAAAAAGGAAAAACGACAACGAAGACACGGACGAGTACGACGACGACGATCACGACGACCACGACGACGACGGTAACGACGACCACGACAACGACAGGAATTCTGCGGGCACAGGGGGCAACTCTTGTGTCGGGGCTGGCGGTGGTAACCCATCGTCGGCCGAATCGGGCGCTGGGGGAAACCCTTGCGTCCGGGCCGCCGATGGTAACCCATCGGCAGCCGAATCGGGGGCTGGGGGAAACCCTTGTCTCCAGGCCGGCGGTGGTAACCCATCGTCGGCCGAATCGGGCGCTGGGGGAAACCCTTGGGTCCGGGCCGCCGGTGGTAACCCATCGGCGGCCGAATCGGGGGCTGGGGGAAACCCTTGTCTCCGGGCCGGCGGTGGTAACCCATCGTCGGCAGAATCGGGCGCTGGGGGAAACCCTTGTGTCCGGGCCGCCGGTGGTAACCCATCGGCGGCCGAATCGGAGGCTGGGGGAAACCCTTGTCTCCGGGCCGCCGGTGGTAACCACCTCATGAACAATCAGGCGAGCTGTGCGAAGTAGCGCGGCACTGCCCCCTCTCTGTTCTTTGCGGACCCCTCCCCCTTGAAACTGCAGTGTGGCCGAGTAGCGCACAGGGGGTAGTGGCGCGCTGCTCGCACAGCGAAGTCGGTACGCTGTCCGCGGTAATCTGGCCAGCTTCCTGGTGCATTGGGACGACGTCCTGGAGCGCCTCCTCGCCATCACGGAGAGTTCGAGCGCTGCTGCGGCGCTGCCCCACGACGGCGAGACGCTGGCCCACCTGGTTCGCTTCGAGTTCCGGATGAAAGACAAGGACATGTCGAAGCACCTGAAGCACATGCGCCTCCGCGCTCATGTGGTGCTGCAGCTCGGCTGGGAGCTCATCGACCGCGGCCACCCCGCTTTTTGTAGAGATGCTGCTGGCGATCCCATCGCAATCGCCGCCGCCAAGGAGGCGTTTGAAAGGCGCGTGAAGCAGTGCTACCCGTGGCTCGGCACCCCCGAGGACGCCGACGGGAAGGTCCCGCCAGCCGTGGACCGGGCGACGGTGGTGGCGGATCCGTCCAGGAGCAGTGTGCAGGATAACAAGCACGCGACTCCGGCGCTGGCCAGCACTGACGTCGCCTCTGTTTTCGACGATGCCAGACCGACTGCCTGCGCGCCCACAGATGCGACGTCCCGGCAAGGGACCGCGGGTCAGCGCCAACAGCGAGCCATGGACGGCGGGCCGGTCGTCCCGTACGTCGCCGACGCGGCCATGTTGGAGCAGTGGAACGGGAAGTACCCCGCGATCGCTTTCCCGCACACGCTGCTGTGGCAGAGCGGGGGGCCAGACTTCACGAGGTCTTGGCGCAACGGTGCCGATGCCGCACATCGACGCCGCGCGGTGGGGCGGCCCGAGGAAGTGCAAAACCGGCCGTCCGTCAGCATGGGGATGTGGCTTGCAGGCATGAGTCGCCGAGTCGAGCACCAGATCCGTTCGGATTGGCTTTTCATCCCGGGCATGCGCAACGTCCACTTCCGCTTCTTGGGCATCACCGCGAGGTCGGGGAGCAAAGTGCGGAAATACAAGGACGAAGACGGATCGGCCTTCACTGAGCGCCTGACCGCAGCTGTCCGCGGGCTGCACGACCTGTTGGCGAAGGGGTACTACGGGCCGAACAGGCGCCCAATTGCTGGGAACTTGACGGTGCTGCACATGGCGCACGGCCTGGACACGAGCCAGAAACAGATCGTTCACAACATGCGTTCGGTCACGAGCACCCTTGCAGGCACCCAGGAACTGCGCCGCAGGATGGGCCACGTCTTCCAGTCCGGCGCGATTGGTTACGGGCACGGGCTCTTCATCACCATCTCGCCCAATGAGAAGCAGTCCTGCTTGGTCATGCGTCTGCACAGAGTACGCCAGGACGACCCGCTGCTGCGCGCGGGGAGCACAGACGACGAACGGAATGCCATGAGAAGGAAGTTGGCGTCACGAGAGCGGCCCTCATTGTCGGAGTGCGCCGACGCGGAGCTCCCCGATTTCGACTTGCGTCTGTGCGAGGTGGCCAATGATCCTCTCTCGGTCGTTCAGGGCTTCCGCGTCGCCGTGAACGTGATTTTGGGCCGCCTCCTGGGCCTCCGGCTGTGCGCCGAATGCGGCGTCGCCAGCCGATGGCACCACCGGCCCAGGTGTCGCTGCACGGACAGATTCGGGTCCAACTCACGCCCCATGGGGGGAATTTTCGGAGTTGCCGCAGCCCTGCTTGGCGCCGTCGAGAACCAGCACCTGGGCACGCTCCACTTCCACGGGTTCGTGTACCTGGCAAACCTATACCAGCACGCATCCATGGCCGAGATCGCCAGGATGATCAGGGAATCCCCCCATTTGGCAGAGGCGGTGATGGAATGGCATGCGTGGGTCCACCGAGAAGAGCACTGGGACCCCGAGGGGCACTCTGCGGGGCTCGCCGCGTTGGAGAAGCAGTGGCGGCAAAATTTCCGGTCGTCCGAACACGTGGGGCTGTGCCGGTGGCCTGTGTATCTGAATCAAGCGTCGCGGAAGACCAAGTGGGAAGAAGGTTGCGACCTTGCTGAGTGGACGCCGACGCGCCCAGCTTCAAGATAGCCTACGAAGCAGACGCGCAGATGATCTTTTCGAAAGTGCAGCACCACCATCATCCAGACGGAAAGCCGTTGACACACTGCATTAAGAAGGGGTGCAAACACGGGGATATGTGCAAGCACGGCTTCCCGAAGACATCGTTCCTGACGCCCGTGGACGGACCCAGATCGCGCGTCGTCTGCCCTCGGGTGGCAAAGGAGTTCGGGCTGAAAGTAAACGGCGCTCGGAACGCCCTGGGGGAGATTGCAGGCCCTCGAAATGACGAGTTCCTCAGCGGGACATGCCCGGCACTTGCTGTTGCGTTCAGGGACAACTCGCACACCGCGCCCAACAACCGGCTGCCGCTGATCGACGACGTCACGCACGACCCAGAGTGTTCATGTCGCAGATACGCCAGTGCAGAGACTGGAGACGCATATCTGCGACGCATCGCCTTCGCTGTGCAGCGATCGATGTCGAACTCCACGCGCTACATCGGCGGGCACATCTCGAAGGTGCAGCGCGTCGGGAAGAAGGCCCGAGAGCTTGCGAAGACTTGCCTGTCGACGTTGGCTGAGCGACTCAAGGCGAAGTCCGAGATGCAGCAGACGCTGAACGCCGTGCACCGCTGCATCGGAGACTGGGAAGCCAAAGGTGTGGCGCGGACGATCTTCGAGGAAATGAACTTAGCTCACTTCGCAGACAGACCGAACCCGCTTGCAGCAGAATGCATTACGTCGTGCCCAGTTGCCGACTTCTACGCGGACTGCTTTCTGAAGATTGTGACCGACGAGACTGGGGCTGGTCGCGCTTCTGCGCGGCGCCAGCAGAAGCCGGTGCTCTTCACGGAGACGGGCGACGTCGCCACGCCGCCAGACGCGACCGCATGGGCGTGCGCGCGGCGGCCCGGCGCGGCCGACATGAAGACCCTCAGCCCGTGCGAATTCGTCCGCTTCTACGAGGTGGCCCCGACGCGCCCGCCTCCCAGAGACACGTCGAAGCCGTCCCCGAGCTTGACTTACTGGGTCGGGAGTCCACCAGCCGCTGCGGACGGGCCTCCGCGGCCGTTGGTGCACTACAAGGTGAAGCCGCCGACGGGCGACTCGGGGTATTTTGCGTTGGAGGAAGACCCGTGCGACGAGGAGTTCGCGCACATGTACGTGATCGTGCCCCGGAGTGTTCCTGCGCTGCCGGTCTTCATCCGGTCAGTAATGCCGCAGCCCGACATGACGTCGGAGCGCCGCAGCGCCATTCTGTCGGCGTACTTCCGACCGTGGACTCTGGTGTGCAAGTACGGGTCTTCTCGGGGGCATACCCCGCTGGCGAATAATCTGAACTTGCCGCCAAAGCGCCAGCGGTCTGGGAGGAGCGCGCCGAGCTTCCGAAAAGCCTTGAAGAACTACCTGCGCGGCCACATCGTCTCGAATTCGAACCGCATCCTGTGGGCCAACGTGCTTCGCACCACGACGACGATGCCGGAGAACGCCGACGAGGGCGAGGACGACCAGGACTCGAAGCCAGTGGAGGCGCTACCCGAGAACGCGTTTCCGGTCCTCAGCCCCAGCAGCATCATGGCAGAGTTACGGCGAGTGGACCGAGACGCCGGGGCAGATGCCGCTGGCGAGGACATTGGGAACCTCTCCCATTCGGTGCACAAAGCGCTGGAGCAGAGCATGTCCTTCTGGGACCCGCCGAACAGCGAGCCCACGTTGCACTTGCCACTGCGACAGTCTGCTCTTCGGCATTCCAGTGCAATGCCAGCGGGGGCTCGCGGAAAGGCCCAGGAGCCACCGCGGAAGACTGCGCGCTCGAAGATGCGGGAGAAGCTGTACCCTGGCGACGCTGACCTGACAAGCAACATCCAGAGATGGCGGAGAGGACCGGGGGGGGGCAATCTGGAGACGTGCAGTTGCCAAAAGCATGTTCTGGATGCAGTTCGGTCGCGTGCGCCCGATTCGTCTCGCTCTGGAAGAAGATATCGAGGATGAGAGCCTCGGCGTTTGAGCTGGCGTGTATCGAACAGAGTTTGTACAGAGCGTCATGCCGTAAGTGGTGAGTAGATCGCAGTATGGGGAAGGTTGATTACAAGCGAGGCTTCGTGTATACACCTTGAAGGATGGCGCTGCGTTTGCTTGCATTGCCTCGGTCGCGCCATGCGTGCTCTGTGGAAGGTGCGTGTACGCGTTTACATGTGCACGCGCGCATAGTGTGCGCATGTAGAAACATTGATTTCCCGGATGTATACACGTCTGGGCATGTCAGGCAGGTGGCGCGGCACATGTGATGCGTAGCAGACAGGGTTGTGCAGCAGTCGTCGGTAAGGTGGGCAGTGCGCAGGGAGGCAAGGCCATGCGCATCCCTGCCCGATCGCAGGGCTGCAGACGCACCAGATCACCCCCGACCCGCAGCAGATGAGCATCCTGGACGCCGTCGCCGACAGGTGCGTCCAGGAGGCCCGCGAGCAGGACCAGCTGCGCGGATCGCCGCGCTCCCGGCTGTTCGTTCTCGGCCTGCCGGGTTCAGGGAAATCGGAGGTCATCCGGTGGCTGTGCGACGAGGGCGTGGGGCTGTTCCCCACGTGCATGGGATGGGAACACGAGGTGCACTTCATCAAGACCGCCCCAATGAATTCCATGGCGAGCAACATCGGTGGGCGAACCATCCACAACTTCAGCAAGCTCGGAATCGACCTCATCACGGGAGTCCAGTCCGGCGGGAAGAAGGACCCGGAGTTGTCGGAGAACATGCTGCACACGAAAATCCAGCACATGCGCTGGCTCATCATCGACGAGATGGAGAACGTGTCGGTGGAGCTGCTGGACGCCGTGCACAGGCAGGTGAAGGACTCGACGAGGGACAAGGGAAACCCCTGGGCCGTGGACGCGCGCGTCCCAAAACAGTTCGCCATGTTCGGAGGGCTCAACCTTGTGCTGCTCGGGGACTTATGGCAGATCCCGCCCGTCAGGAGCCTCAGTATAGCCGCCAATCCATTTGTCAAGAGACCCGCCAACGTCGGCCGCATATTGGAGATGTTCTGGACACAGGGCTTGCCGCACTCGGTGACTAACCGCTACGCCCTGACCCAGTCGCACCGCTGCTCAGACTTGTGGTGGAGAAGCTTTCTCGCGGAAGCGCGCGCTGGGGATCTGTCGGACAGGATGTACGATTTCGTCCACGGCTTCTCGACTGATGTGCCCGGCTCCTGGATGCCCGCAAGCCCCGGCAGCGCCGAGGCCTCGACGGGGCACCTCGGCTGCGGGAAGGCGAAGTGCCGCGCGCTCTGGTCAGTTGAGTGGCCACGGATGTTCGGAGAAGGTCGGGCCTGGGAGGACATGAAATCCCTGGAGTGCGCTGATTGCAGCGCGGAACGCCGTCGGCGCTGCCGCGTCGCCTCTCAGAGCGGTGCCAGACAGCGGGAGGTGAGCACGGCGTTCGCGGACGCGCTGTTCGTGCACCCGTACAACGCCCCGAAGAGCAGGATTCTGACGCTGCGAGCGGCGAATGCGGCAGCCAATGCTGGGAAGCAGCTCCTCTGGGTGGTGGCGCGCGATGTCCCCCTCACTCGGGACGACGCATGCAGGTCGACGGAGTCGCTCGCCCACGCCAGGCAGAATTGGCTCATATACCCCGAGAACAAGACTGGCGGAGTTCCGGGTGTGCTGCCGATCTTCGAGGGGACGCGGGCGCGGTTCACCGCCACGGAGAATGCAGAGGCGGGAGCCTGCAAGCACTCCTGGGGTACCGTGACGGGCTGGGTCCTCCACCCCGACGACTCGAAGTTGGTGAAAGACCACAGGTCCGAGACGGAGCTGGTCCTGCAGCACGTGCCCGAGGCGATCATGGTGCAAATTCCCGGGAATACGGCGCCCCGCTTTGGGAATCAGCCCGCGGGTGTCTTCCCCGTGAAGCAGAAGGAGGTGTCCTGGGATCGTAGTCCTGGCTTCAAGGCCATGGTGAAGCGCGCGGGGTTCCCGCTGGTCCCGCACTTCGCCGCCACGGCCCACTGCGTCACCGGCGCCACGCTGCCGCAGGCCATCATCGACCTCCTGGACGCGCGCACGACGCCCCGTTCGTCCATGGTCCCCACGGGCTACGTGGCCATCAGCCGCACCAGGAGGGCTGACGACCTGATTATCACGCAGCCCTTTTCGCCGATGCTTTTCCGGCAGGGGCACCAGACTGGCCCGTGGCTCCTGCACTCCATGACAGCCGGGGAGTTGACGACGGAGCAGGCGAAAGCCGGCTGGGCCAAGGCAGAGAAGGAAGCGGCTTCCAAGTCGTCCAAGAAGGTGGTGGACGCCACGTTCCAGCGCGGCGACTGCCACCAGCGGAAGAGAGCGGGGAATTTCCCAGGCAGTGGCATGAGCTGGATCGAGCTATAGTATGATTATCTTTAGTCTTACCCCACATCCGCCGACCCCTCGTTCTCTGTGGGGGGGCAGGGTCTCTTGGAATCAGTTTTGAAGGCGCTTCGGGGTCGTTTCCGGGCCCGGTGGGCGCGTCGAAGTGTTTGCCGTGCAGGCATCGGGGAAAAGCATGCGAAAACCACGTTCGCAGACGGCAGGCATCGGTCAAAACACCAGAGGAGTGGTTATCGAATGGCCTTCGGTGCATCCCTCCACCGTGCCGGGGCTGCGGGTCTGAGGCCACAGGGATGGCTGATGGGGTCTCGTGGGTGGCTTCTCGGGGGCGTCTTGGAGGCAGGTTTCAGGCTTCTCGTGGGCCTCCTGAGGGCCTTTTCGGCGCCTTGTGTGTGTGGGACCCTCTTGCGGTTCCCCTGGGGCTTTGGGGGGCCCCGTGGTCGTTCTTGGGGCAACCTGGGGGTGTCTTGGGGTCGAAGGCTCGAACACTTTCCCTGTGGCCTCCTTGGAGCCGTCCCGGGGCCCTCCTTGGCTGTCTTGGGGGCTTCTTGGGCCGTCTTGGGGCCCTGTTGGTCCCCCCATTGGGGGCCCCTTGGGCCGTCTTGGGGCCATATTGAAGGCTTCTTGGCCGTGACGCTGTCAAAGCCGAAAATGCGAGTATGCAAAAAAAATCGCTTCCCCAAGGGAATTGGACGATGATGTTTCTTGGGGCCCTCTTTGGGGCGCATCTTAGAAGCCTCTTGGGGCGTCTTGGGGGCCTTTGGGGCCGTCTGGAGACCATCCTGGGAGTCTTGGAGCGATATTTCGGCGACTCTTGGCCCACTTGGACCGTCTGGGTGGGGGGCGTCTGAGAGCCCTCTTGACCCGTTTGGGGGCCCTTTGCTCCCCCATGACGCGTTCGGGCTGGGCGAGTGGGGTGGGGGGTCAAATTCCGTGTTTTGGTGTCCCTGGGGGGGGGGGATTCTGGGGGGGAACAATGTCACACGCCTAGAGACCTACAAGGGGTCGGCAGATTCAGTTCGAGGTGGATCGAACCCTAGAAGGAATGATTTCCAGCTGGATCCAGCTATAGAAGGATATAGCTGGATCGAGCCCGATTAGGATATTAGGATGGCAGTAAAGCTGGATCCAGCTGCACCTGGATTCTATTAGAGCTGCATCGAGTCCTAGAAGGATTCATTGACAGCTGGATCCAGCTATGATAGGAACCCATGAGAGTTGGATCGAGCGCGACTAAGATGCTATCAACGTTAAATCAAGCCGTCGTGGGATCCTATCAGAGTTTGATCGAGCACTAACGGAGTTCTAAGGGAAGAGAGGGGGAAGGGGGCTCGGTTCGAACCACCCCCCCGTTGGACTGGGCCTTCCTTGCCCAGGGTCGACCCACCCCACCCGAAGGGGGGGCGGGGTCCGCTTAGAGAGGTCGGTGGCTGGCGCCCCCCACCCGGTTCTCCGAGCGTTTCAAATGTCGTAGATGGGGGAGGCGGCTCCGATGTGTCTATTGTTTTTTTTCCTCCAAGCAAGCGTCCAAAAAACGCGCTTATTCATAGATGGATGTGTGTACATATATGTATATATAAATATACATATATATATATGTATATATATAGATGTGTGTGTGACTATATATATACATACGTGTATATATATATATGTATATATGTATCAGCGTGAGGGGGCCGAACGGTCATTCACTGTCCCTGGGTGCGTGGTTGGAGTGGAAATCCGTGGTGAGGATTATGCTTGTTGCGTTGTTGTTGTCGTTGTTGTTGTTGAACTCTCACTACTGAAGAACAATTATTGTTGATCCCCCTCCTCCGGTGCACATTGAATTTTTTAATTGGAGTGCCCCCCCCGGCCCTCGCACCTTGTTTTCTATTAGGGAAAGTCTTGAAGCTCAAATTCTGCCCCTGGCCCCCGGGTCACAACAACAACGGCTCCCGCCTGAGACGTCCTCACAATTTAGCCAGGACCCCCGCCCCGGCCTGAGATTTCCTCGCATTTTATTCAGGAATCGCGCTCTCGCTTGGGACGTTCTTACAATTTATTAAGGAATCGCTCTCTCTGCGATCTGGAGTCGCGCTCTCGCTGGAGATTTTCTTGCAATTTACTCCAGAATAACGCCCTTGCGCTGAATTTTCCCGCAATTTACTCAAGCGCCGCGCTCCCGACACTCAGGCACTCAGGAGTCGCGCTCACGCTTGGGACTCCCTCACAGATTATTTAGGAATCGGGATATCGTTGCCCTTCGTGGCCCCATGTCTGTATTCCCTTCGTGGCCGGTGCCCTTCGTGGCCCCGTTGCAGCCCTTCGTGGCCCCCTCGCTGCCCTTCGTGGCCCCGTTGCAGCCCTTCGTGGCCCCCTCGCTGCCCTTCGTGGTCCCGTTGTAGCCCTTCGTGGCCCCCTCGCTGCGCTTCGTGGCCCCATATATGTATGCCCTTCGTGGCCCCCGCTCGTTCGCGCCCGTCGTGGCCCCATATGCATGCCCTTCGTGGCCCCGCTGTCGCCCTTCGTGGCCCCCATCACTGCCCTTCGTGGCCCCGTTGCTGCCATCAATGGCCCTCTCCTTGCCCTCCGCGGTCCAATGTACGTATGCCCTTCGTGGCCGCCGCTCGTTCGCGCACGTCGTGGCCCCGTCTGCATGCCCTTCGTGGTCCCGCTGTCGCCCTTTGTGGCCCCCTCGTTGTCCTACGTGGCCCAGTTGCTACCCTCAGTGGTCCCGCCGTTGCCTTCTGTGGCCCCGCATTATCTGCCCTTCGTCGCCCCCGCTCGTTCGCGCTCTTCGTGGCCCCATACGCAGTCCCTTCGTGTCCCCGCTGTCGCCCTTCGTGGCCTTTTTTCTTGCCCTTCGTGGCCCTGCTGTCGTTCTCTCTCTCTCTCTCTCTCTCTCTCTTGCTTTCGCTCATCGTCGTCGTCGTCGTTGTCGGTCCCCTGTCCGTCTCTCTTAGGGTCGGGCTGCCGCCGATCAGCGCTGCCGCTGGCCAGGCCGACGGTCCGCGGCCGCCCCGCCGCTTGCCGGGGCCCGGCCTGCAGGGAAGAAAAATACACTCCCCAATAGGAGTACGATCGAAGACGAAGGGTTTGGGAACTATGCGTTAACAGACACTCGAGCAGATAAGAGCGAACAGGTTTTGAATGGTTATTGTTGTTGGTGTTGTTGTCGTTGTTGTTGTTTGTTGTCGTCGTCCCCCCGCGACCCACCCGCGACCCACCCCGCGACCCACCCCGCGACCCACCCTGCGACCCACCCCGCGACCCACCCGCGACCCAACCCGCGACCCACCCGCGACCAGCCCCGCGACCCACCCGCGACCCACCCGCGACCCACCCGCGACCCACCCCGCGACCCATCCGCGACCCACCCCGCGACCCACCCGCGACCTAGTTGCGACCCACCCGCGACCCATTTGCGACCCACCCGCGACCCATCCCGCGACCCACCCGCGACCGATCCACATAGGTTTGAAGGAAAAAACGGCGCCTGCGGCGGGCTCATTGTATAGTCTGTAAAATTTCGGCGCATGCGGCGGGCTTCTCCATAGTCTCGCAGACTGCCAGCGCTCCCACCGCCCCCTCACTCTTATCCGCATCTGCGGGGTGCTACGTACATATTATCAGATATTTCTAGCATGGTTATCCCGATGGTTGTCCCGATAGAGTGGGGCATCGACAGACAAATTGAGAGTGAGATCGGTGTAAATGATGCGCGGCCGATAGATCGTGAGACCGATTGTAACACGGATAGGCCGATTTGTTGGCCCGATGGTTGCCCCGACGGTTGCCCCGATGGATAGGTAATGCGGGTGACAGGTATTGATAGGGATATCGGTAGACACATCGTGAGATTGGTAGATTGGGAGCCCGACAGGTCGGTATATGGATGTATTTATTTATATATATATATATATATTATAAAGAATGAGTGTTCTGATGGTTGTCGCGATGATCGCCCCGATGGTTGCCCCGATTGTTGTCCCGATGGTTGTCCCAACGGTTGTCGCGATGATTGTCCCGGACCATGGTTGTCCCGATGGTTCTCCCGACGAGGATTTTCCCAATGGTTATAACGATGGTTATCCCGATGGTTGTCCAGATGATTGTCTCAAACGTGTCCCGATGGTTGGCCCGTGATTGTCCTGTGGTTGTCCCGTGGTTATCCGGATTACTGCCCCCTTGTGGTTGTCACGATGGGTGTCTTGATGTTTGCCCAGTGATTGTCCCGGGGTTTTCCACATTGTTGGTCAGTGGCTTGCGAAAACAAAAATTCCACCGCCTGACCTCGCACCCGCAGAGTGGTTTTATAAGTGCACAAAGAGAGTCTTTCTAAGTAAAGTCACAATGAGCGTGAAGGACAGCGAGAGGGGGGTAGAGAGGCAGAAAGGGAAAGGGGGGAGAGCGAGAGGAAGAAGAAGGGAGGGCGCAACGTGAACCTTGATATCAACCGCGTCGTGGGGTACCGGCATTTCTGCAACAAGGTCTGGAACGCGACGAAGTTTGCCCTGCACTACATGCCGGAGGGCTTCAAATCCTCAGGCAGCCGCCCTTTGGTGCTCACTCTGAGCATGATACTTGGCAGGCGGATTGTATGGAGAGTTGGCGGGCGACGTTTGAACATCTTGCTTCATCCCCTTTCTCTCAGGACAACGTCAGCGGGGGAAGCATCGACCCCTACTCGCCCACTCATCGCCGATAGGGCCTCATGGCCCACCCAATCCAGGAATGTGCGGTCTCGCGATCGGGGGCCTGTCGCCGATCTCTCGGCGATAGAATAGATCGCCGATTTCAAGTCACTGTTTCTGAACCAGTCCTCACAATTCGTTCCCTCTCTTCCCCTTGCCCATCCACCAGAAGGTTGCACACATCTCAGGATATGGTCCCAGACATCCGACGTCTCGATTTTTTCGAGACACGGGCCCCCAACCTCCCGACCACTTCCCCGGGACCGGTTTTTCATCCCGAGTCGTTTTTTGACGGTCCCGAGGCCCGGCGAGGGCCTCCAGAGGCCGAAAACGATGAAAAATGTTTGTCTCGATTTTTTCGAGGCGCCCGATGTCTGGGGTGGTCGCAGGTGGCCCGTGCCCAGAGAGGGTGGCGGCGCGCGCAGGGAGAGGCCGCCCGCCCCCTCACTTCCTCGGGGACGACCGCACGACTGGGAGTGCGGCGTCGTGGTGCCGCAGACGTCGCGCTCCGTCCGCGGCTACGGCCCTGTTTCGGGCCAGAGGTTCCTGGAGGCCCCTGGACTATAGTCCGGGGTCGGGGGTGGACAGACCTCCTACCCTGACACGTCGATTAAGGAATTGGCCCTTTTCGGTTCGCGAGAGGGCGTCGCGGCCGTCATTTTTGCGGGTCCAAGTCCGTCGGTTTCGGTCCCAGGCCGTTTTCACTAAAGGGGAGGTTTACTAAAGGGAGGTTTGTCCACCGCCGACGGGGGCCGATAGGGCATCGGCCGATCGGAAACAGGTGTCACCTGGCATACCACGATTTAGGGCCCAACTCATGTGGGGTGGCCAACTAGTTTCAGCGTCGGCGCTGGGATGCCCGTGTTCGAAAACGGGCCGAATCTGGCATCCTCCCGCAAAAATCCCCTTGACGCCGCGCGATCCGGTTGGATCGAGTTTCATGATGGGCCTAATCTAGTTTCATCCCGCCGAAAGGCCCCTCAATCGGGCGCACCAGCCCATAATCGTTCTTACGAAGACTTCCGAGGAGTTGTCCACCAACTAGGGTTGGAGGTCACAGCACAATTGCCGGAGCAACATCGGAACACCTAAGGATGATTATCAGAGCGCTGTCAGAGCACAACCAGAGAACGATTGGGACACGATCAGAAACCAATGAAACCCACCGTTCGTTGATTCATAATTATGTTGCTTTGGTTTGTAGACATTAACCGAACAGTGCTTGCTCTTAGCGGTTCTTACGTGTGTGAACAAAAACTTGAATGGGGCCTGAGAGGTTTCGCGACGTTTCCGCCCGTTTGTCACCTCGCTGCCGCCTACTGTGCTGGGTGGGTCCGGCGAGGTTTCACCAAGTTGCCGCCTCGTTGCCGGCTCGTGTACTGGCTGGGTCTGGCGAGGTTTCGCCAAGCTGTTGCCTTTTGCCGCCTCGGTGCGTCCCAGTTCGCCGGGTGGGTCCGGCGAGGTTTCTCCCCGTTGCCGCCTCGCTGCCGCCTCGAACGTTGGGTGGGTTCGGCGAGGTTTCGCTACGTTGCCTGCCGTTGCCTCCGCGGTGCCACTTCGTTGCCGCCAGATGCGCTGGGTGGGTTCGGCGAGAGCTCGCCACGTTGCCGCACATTGCCGATTCGTTGCCGCGCTTAGCTCGCACCACGTATACTGCACCACAGCTTAAATTGCATGGTTTGCACCACATAGCTTGCACATCGACTGTGCAATAACTTTCTGTTTGGGGTCCACGTTGGCTGCCATGTTGCATACAGCTCCACTGCATCTCGCTCACACTCTCGCGCGAGGGTTTGCGAGAGCCCTCCTTTCCAGAACACGACGTGAACCTCCGCCCAGAGCATGACGCAGTTCTCGTGCACAAAACACGACGGTAAACCTCAACCCTGTCCGCGACCGCGTGTGCCCCACCGACCCGACATCCGTGGCCTGACTGGGGCCGGTACCAGCCGCTGGGCCCGCAGCGCCACTTACGATGCTGCCCCCTTCGGGATTCGCGATCGCCCCTCGCCCGGCTCAGGGTCCACGTGCCACCTGTGTTTGGATAAGCTGGAATCACTTCGTGCTCGGGTAGCCGAGTGTGAGGCGAAGCGTGCGTACAGGTGGTCTTGATCGTAACTGCCAGGGGCCAGCCCGACTCCTGCTGACGGTCATGTGTGAAAGTTGGCCAAGGGTTTTCAGGACAAGATCTTCTGAATCACAGCACAGTCTTCTGAGCAAATCGCAACATGGGGGATCCGAAGACCGATCTGCTTCAAGTCCTTTCCTGTATCATGCGTCCACCCACTTCTTTCAACTGGAAAGTTTAGTTGCCTCCCTGGCATGACGAGGCCAGTAACATGCGTACAAAGATATATATATATATATATATGTATATATATGTATATGTATGTATATATATATATATCCACCACCAAGAGATGACAGCATTTACCATACAGTTCCCCATGGGTTGCGCTGTGCATTTCGCTCGACCCCCCTGCGGACAACTAAAGGATCCGTTGCTCCTGTGGTGTGTGTGTGTCGTAGGTTGCGCCATAGGTTACTCTGGGCACCCACGAGCAATTCAATCGTCTGTGGCGTGATTCGGTGCTACTCAGCCCCACTCAGCAGCTACATAACGTGTTGTTTAGGGGGCAGTTCATATGGCAAGCCACAGATTGCGTGCCATGGATTGCGCTACACACCCCGCGAGCCACCAAATCGCGATTTCCCCAGTCTGCATGCATTCGATGGGTCGCGCCTAACCTTGCGCCAGACCTCCCGCTGGCTACCAAATCGCGACCTCCCCCGTTTGTCTACATTCCATAGGTTGTCCCATAAGTTCCGCGCCATCGGTTGCGCTACATTCCAAGCGGTCCATCAACCAAATCGCGGTTTCCCCCGTCTGTTTACACTCCATACGTTGCGCCATAGGTTCGCGCCATAGGTTGTGCCACACACCCCGCAGGCCGCAAAAATGGGCCGACGCCTTAATGTGCGTGATTCCTGAGAACCGCAGACGCCTCCGGCGAATTACCCGCCGCCTTTTGATTTCATGACAGCGCCGAGATGGCGAAACGTTGGACCAAAGCCTGGCCAAGGCATTGGCCCTTGTGCCCCTCCCAGCCGTTGTGGAAACCCTTGGGGGGGCACTTGGAGGCTGACGGGAGGCCTCGCGGGACCCTGAGGCCCCTTTGGGGCCTTTTTGGGGGTCCCTCGGGGCCTCTTAGGGAGCCATCTTAGAGCTCACGGTGCCCGTCGGACGCCGTCGGAGGCCGTCTTGGGGGCCTGTCTGGGCCGCCCTGGTGCCCTCGCCGGGGAGGCGTAGGGCCTTGCTGGCGGGCTCTTGGGCCGTCCTCGGCCCTCTGGGGGCTTCCGTGGTCCGTCTTGGGGTTCTCTTGGACGCTTGCGTTGGTCGTCGTGGGGCTATGGCAGGGCAGGAGCGAAAAGGGTCGGGGCGCGGAAGCGCGAGCCCGCCATAGTTCACGAGGGACGGTGGCTTCGGGAACGCGAGCGTGCTGCAGCGTACCCCCTCGACTGTGGACCCGGGAGCGCGGATCGGCTGTCACTCACGCAGGGTTGCGCCAGCGGGGGCGCCAATGTGCAGCAATTTCCCCGCGGGCGTGACTTCAGGGGAGCGAAGAGATTGTAATGCACAGGAGAATGCGACCTCGAGGGCGCAGCGCAGGCTTCGATTGATTGATCAGGGGTTGTGGCTGCGGGGCGGGGACGCGAACCACCAGTACGTTGCGTGTTTCATGGCCTGGAGCCGGCTTCTCGGGAATCGACGGGGGATCCGAAAAGCGTCCCCCCCCCTCCCCGAACACAGCCCCCCAAACAGAAAGTGTCAGTTTTCTGCTTTGGAGAGAGGGTTGTGTGTCTGGGCAGCCTGCGTGGGTGGGTCGTGGAGTCGGGGGTACAACCTCGTTTCAATTTGCAATAGATTGTAGACTCGGGTGCGCGAATACGTCTCGCTTGACGAGGGGGTGTGGCATCGGGAGCGCCAGCCTGATGGAATTTACATTGGGTTGTTGCTTCGCGGCCGCGAATATGCAGTGGTTCGAGTGTCTCTGGGCACCCGCGGAAGTTCAGATTTCGCACGGGATGGTAGCCAGCTGATGTTCGGGCTCCCCCTGGGCGCGCGGGATTCAAACGTTACAGCATTGGACCCAAACAACCTGACATCTATATCTGTAACATTGGGAACTGGAGCTGTTGCTTGGAACAGAACACCTCCGGCTGTTGCTTGGAACAGAACACCTCCGCCTCGCAACTTGTTGACCCCCAACGTGACCAACGGAGTTGGGCTTCTCTGGGCCCTTGGATGTTGATTGGGGTCTCTTCGGTGACTTCTTGGGGTCCTCTTGGAGGTCTCTGGTGGCGCCTTGGGAGCCTCGGGGGCGTCTCTTGGGCCCCTCGGGGGGCGCCTGGGGCGCATCTGGGGTCTCTTGGGCACTTCTGGGGGGGGGAAGACCTGTCGGTGCATTAGCACAAGAGAGCTCATGGGGCTGTTCCCTTCCCCTTCTCGGGCCCGGAGACCTTGAAAAACAGACGTCGTCATTGATCAATGATCCGGTGCCTCTGGGAAGGTGACGCGACACAGATCAGGAAGGCAGGAGTCTGGGCCTCTGCAGAGCATCACAAGACGCAGCGCAAAGACCTCGAAGGGACCTGAGGGCACACCAGCATGTGCCTGCTGCGCGGCGGCGGTTGTTGGAGAATGCGTGCAGCACTCGCTGCCTGAGGGGCCAAGACCGCCCTCCTGACCTCCTCATTCTATCCCAGAGGGTCGGGCGCTGAGCGTTGCACTGCCCGCTGCCGCCGGCCGGCTTGTGCAGTCAGGGCGCTGCACTGAGGGCCCTTTTGGCCTCG